CTACACGGTGGAGTGGTGAGTGGACAACAGACCTAGAAGTCCACACGCAGGAGTGGTGAGTGGACAACAGATCTAGAGGTCTACACTGTGAAGCGGTGAGTGGACAACAGACCTAGAAGTCCATATGGTGGAGTGGTGAGTGGACAACAGACCTAGAGGTCTACACGGTGGAGTGGTGAGTGGACAACAGATCTAGAGGTCCACACTGTGTAGTGGTGAGTGGACAACAGACCTAGAAGTCCACACTGTGTAGTGGTGAGTGGACAACAGACCTAGAAGTCCATATGGTGGAGTGGCAAGTGGACAAGAGATCTAGAGGTCCACACGGTGGACTGGTCAGTGGACAACAGACCTAGAAGTCCACATGGTGGAGTGGTGAGTGGACAACAGACCTAGAAGTCCATATGGTGGACTGGTGAGTGGACAACAGACCTATAGGTCCACACGGTGGAGAGGCAAGTGGACAACAGATCTAGAGGTCTACACGGTGGAGTGGTGAGTGGACAACAGACCTAGAAGTCCACACGCAGGAGTGGTGAGAGGTGAGGGGACAACAGGCTTAGAAGTCCACACAGTGGAGTGGTGAGAGGTGAGTGGACAACAGACCTAGAGGTCCACATGGTGGAGTGGTGAGCGGACAACAGACCTAGAAGTCCACACGGTGGAGTGGTGAGAGGTGAGTGGACAACAGACCTAGAGGTCCACATGATGAAGAGTAGTCCTGTGCCATGACTGTTGAATATATACAAATATATATTTACTGAAAGCCTAGGCAAGTTTTGATCAAGCTAAACCTAGTTTCCTTGATTTCACAAAGCAGACGAGGAAAGGTTCTTTTGAAGAATAAAAAATATAATTTAAAAAAAAATTGTTTTCATAGACTCATTGTTAGTCTCGGTGCAGTGGTCAGTGTACAACAGACCTAGAGGTCCACAGTGGAGTGATCAGTGTCTCAGCAAAATTTGCTCACTTTCGATAAAATCTTTAAGAGACAGTTTAATTTTGTTTGCCTGATAATTAGTTCTCTTTAATAGCATCACAGTATGGCAGCTTTGCACATCAAAGCAGCCTGCCCATTAAATGGGATAAGATGTGGGAAACAGGGTCATAGGTTATCTGTAAATGTGACCTCTGACCTTACATGTCACCTTGGATAGTGCCTCCCTGATTATAGTAAGCCATTTTTCTCAGGACTGAATACAGACAATTACTAAATCAAGGACACCATAGATTGGCAATAAAAATATACTCCGCTGACATATAATATTCTAGTGCATAGTTCTTTGATAAAGATAAAAACAATCAACTCTATATTATATCATGTGACAATATGTACAATAGGACTTGTAATTTATGTTTTTGTTAAACTGAATGTTGTCTCATTCATATACTGTCTCATTGTAGGAGTTTACGGTATTTTGCAAGCATCTTAATCCTAGTGGTACAATATTTAAAAAAATCACAAATAGTGAATAAAACAGTTAATTAATTCCAACCAGCCTCAGAAAACTACCAGCGGAAAGATTCTAGCTGTTGCCGACTAGAGTTATTGTTTTTGTACATGTAAAATGATACATTGCTTGATTAAAAAGTATTGATTATCATCGTTTGGGTCAGTACCTTCAGTTGACCTCACAGACTCCTATGAAAATTCTCCTATGCAATTAACTTTTATTTGTAATTGGAGACATGAAGATATTTTTTTGTATGTCATCTAATGAAATGAAATGAAAGAACACTTCTAGATGCCCTGACAATAATATCTAAAATGCTGGACAAAGGTCTAGGGTCAGATGTTTGCTTCTTTAACTGCCCACTACAATAAACAGTTGTTTCAGATTGTCATTATTGTTAAATTGATATAAAATATGTCAGACTGTCTCAGAAATATCAATACAGTTTCCCTAAGTGTCCAGTGAATAAATTACCAGTAATTCTTTATAGTACTTTGTCTACAACACAGACTATCATGATTTGCAGATTATTAACAAAGAGATATACTCTTAAACAATCCCATCAGTTCTTATGATGGTCTTACGATGTGTAATATTTAACCATCTAGTGTTCACAGGAGACAGATTAGAATGTGAAACGCCAGGGTAAAATCGTGTGTTTCTCTAGCCCGTGATGTGAACGTCTCATAGCAAATCAATTAGCATAGTAAATGTATTTAAGAAATAAAGTTTTCTCGTGCCCAATGTGTAACGTAGTAAAGTAGTCTTCGTGCTTTAACAAGAACAATTCAGGGCAAAACTATACTTTTTTACACTACACATGGGGTAGAGCAAACTTTATTACTTTTCTATGATTCTGAATTTAAGATTAACCATGTGTTTTATATGAGCTGGGTCTAAAATTAAATATGTAAATACCTATGACTGAAAAAACCCCTGAAAATCCTCAAACAGGAATAACTTATTATCCGTTCAGTGTGTGATTATCCATAATCCCAGTCAGCAATAAGTAGGATGTAAGTTTTAAAGTTTGCATATTAATTTGCTTCAATTTATTCACGTGACTCGAAACATTCGCAGGATAAAGTACAGTTGGCGCCTTTGATATTTTAGTGAAGCATCTTAGAATACCGTAACTACCGTGAATCGACATGGGGCGAACATGACGAAGGAAGAGCAACAGTGTCCTGTTTGTTTGACTGTCGTATATTGTTAATTGCTTTACGCTGAGCAACAGGTGAACAGGTAGTTATGAAACTTTTCAAGGATTGCTCATTCCTTTGTCCTGAGAGACATACATAATTCGAGGGAACCAATGTCCGCTTTGGACAATTTTGTGTCCGCTGTGGCACGGACACAGTGCTTTGATTATGTTTGGGATAAGTCTGTGGCATGAGAGATTGTTCATCATCTTCCATATTTTTTCCAAGGTAATGACATTCAAATATCCAACAAGTTTAAAAAAACCTACTTCACCGATGTTACCAGGGATACGTTAGATCAAGGGGGAGGTAATTTCAACAGCATCATGATGTCATCCCATTATGACGTAACACAAAAGGCATACTTTGTCGCAGGATAAAGTACAGTCGGCGACTTTGATATTATAGCGAAGCATCTCAGAAAATGAAATAAAGTATAGATTTGAACTGAACTATTACAGTTAAAGCATGAGGACGCTTGCATCCACTTCTTCGACATTAAAGTCACTCTTTTTTACCTGTACATTGTATATTTATCCAAAATCCAATCCAGCAGTAAGTAGGATTTGTATTGATGTTATGTATGTTTATATATGAATTGGGTTCAGATTAATCACCTGATAGTAAACATGTAAATACCTTGTGTCGTTTGTTATTGTGAGTTCAGGTATTTTCAATCATAAAAGTTGAAGCCCCTAATGTTAGCAGATAGCAGCAACTGCGAACCATGAAATGGTAGGCTGACCAAGTTGGTTGCAATATGCAACTGATGTGAATCGATGGCTTGGGATGAGGTGACCTGACGTGAAATGACGTTGCCATGGGATGAATATGTCTGTTTGTTGGACAATTATTTGTTGCATTATACTGAGCTCATGCATGCCTATGTAATATTTCAAGGATTGCACCTTCCTGTGGCCAGTGACGGACTTAATTCACAGAGCACAACGCCTGCCTCAAACAACTTGGCCATGTGTTTGTGTCTGTGTCTACTTAAGACTGTTTTCATCTATGGGATGCTGAGAATAACAATAATCCGAATGTGGAAAAGAACCATTCAGTCAATTTGTTTGTTTTTGTTAAAAAAAAGGTAAAGTTGTAAGCTTTTTAGCAGGCAATTGTCACCATTCAATTACTTTGTATACATCCATGGTTGGTTCTGTGCCTGAAGTCACTGGGCCACCAATGTCCCCATTGTCATTCATTTATTACCCATTTAAACTTAACACATCATCAAAATTCACCATTGAAAAAAGACATCGCTGGTGCAAGGGTGGCGCATGAATACAATATTAGTAGCTGATGATTCGACCATATGTTCTTTCAAGGAGTAGCCTTGCAATAAAGTGTGCATCTTTCTGTGAGACCAATTATAAAAAATGATAAAGATGCTGATTCTAAAATCATGTTCATGATATCATTTATGTACACACCACCAAGTTAGAAACATCAGCAGTCTATATTCAGTTTAGTGTCTGTGAGGGGAGCCTGACAGACAATCGACTCATCCAGTCATGTCATGCTGGCTATGTGATTTCATGTGAGTCAGCAGATGGTTTATCTGTTATGAAACTGATTGTAATTACTGCTGAGCTACACCACTTAGGCAACTTCTGAGCACAATAGATTCACAACATGGTGACATGGTGGACAACAATTCTACCAACTGTCCATTTGGTCAAAGGGGTCTACTCTCTATTGCAACATGAAGATCAAGGTCGTAAGAAGACATGACGACAAATGTTGTGATAATGCTTTGACAAAATCTTTTGTATATTAATGATGCTCTGAACGTTCTAAAAGATGCTTGCACTACTACAATACAAAAGTTGGAGTCCAAATCTGCTCCCTGTTTCAAACATATTTATCCATGAGTCTTCGTTAAAATACAGGGAACTGCAAACAAATATGTCAATAGCACAGCAAATTTTGAGATGCATGCATTGTGGGTCTAGGCACCTCTGATAGTAGGTTCTATATATCCTAACTACACCAAACATCTAAAAGCGGAGCAGACATTGCAGAGCCAGTATTGCGCAGTGCAACTACTCCCCCAGTTCAATGACCAACTGATGCCTAAATAGTCCTTTAATGTTATTACACACTGTTTGTTACTAAACAGGTAATTTCTTCAAAGCATTGTTTACAAACATTACTGCTTCCATTAGTACCAGGAGCAGGCCATGGCACAAGTGACCTGTAGTCTGGGGGAGGAGCAATATCTGGCCTCTGGAGAGAACATTCAACCAGTCCATCCCAACATAAATATCAAGGGTACCCAGACACACAAATCTATAAGTATATTTGTATTTCACACTTATATTCTGTATCTCACAGTACTTACTTTCCAAAGACAGGATTCAACTGTTTAGAGATGTAGTTTTCTTTGTCATTGATGGTAGTTTTCCCCAGCTTAATGATCAGGTAGGGATCGGCCTTGCCATTAATGTCAGCAGGGTGAAGATCATTGGCCTAAAACACATAAACAGCAATTTCAGTTCTGGCAACACAAAGCACTTAAAAATAACAGGCTAGTTTCCCCACAATTATCTGCCCAAATCAAAACAAAATGTTTTTAAATTAACAATTTCAGATCGAACCAAACTCTCATGGGTCCCACAAAACAAGCTTATCATACAGGAACTAAGACTTCTGTATGACACAACAGCCGTCATATCTCTTGTCTAAATACTACTCCAAAAGTTTGGTTTACTAGGTTTTCTTTAATTTCAAAAAGGACATACAAACAGATGTGTTAAGTAGTTCATGACCAAGTTTTTTCTAATGACATTTCATCTCCTTGGGGGCATGAGATACAACTGTAAAAACAATGTAGCATGGGAAAACATGTTTGGCGTTTTGGGGACAAAATATATTTATTAACCAACTACGTGTGAAACGTAAAACATGTTTCTTTGAATATAAAATGGTTGATTCCAACCTTAGTAAATTGTAAATCCAAGCTGCACTGACCTTTACTACATAGACCCTGACAAGAACTTTGATCGGGTCATTGCTGGGCAGCCCCTGAAACAGACCAAAGGCAGGGTCGCCTCCTGTGATGGTTGTGTCTTCAATGTCCTGGGGAAGGGGGTACTTGTAGATCTTCAAGGAACCCTGCAGACACACACTTATTACTTACAGTTCAGCACTTATAATCTTTTGATAAAAGAAGATTGTTTTCTACAATGATTGTCAGAAGCCAATTTTGACAATAGTATAGCTTTTTATTCCAGTACTGGAATAATGCAACAATAAAATAACCCACTACACTGGAAAATTGAAAGATTTTGCCATGCATGAAATATTAGCAAGTAGTTGATATGCTTAAAGCATTTATCCAATAGTGGATTAGCATTCAAGAGGATCTGCCCATACTCTTCTTGTGCCAGGACAGTCTCTAGCAGTGTCAGACAAAATAGTTGGATGGACAAAGGGAGGTAACTCATTTTATGAAATTACTCCATATCTTATCCAGGAACATGAAAATGAATATTATATGTATTGAATTTGACATTTAAATTCCTTGTCTGTGAAGATATTTGAGCAATGAAACCACATTTATTTTCTTCATTCTCTTTTTCCAACGATCTTTCTAAGCCATAGTATTTTGTCAGGCAGTGAAATACGATTCAAGCCATGACATTTTATAAATAGAGATATTATACGAGTAGGGGTGTCATGCTGTTTTTATGAAATGAGTGTCAGAAATCTTGTATTTCCCAAGAGTGAGCGAGGGTAATACATGAATTCTTACACAAGCTTCCTTAAATCAGTATGACTCACATGCAAGTAATAACTTTTTTATTACCCATCTTTTCTTAATCCTTTGAGCTCCCCTGTGAGAGAGAGAGAGAGAGAGAGAGAGAGAGAGAGAGAGAGAGAGAGTGCTCTGTACTCTCTCTGGGAAATATGACGCTCAGTCATTCGCTGGTTAGTCCTAACATTATCGTGAAGAGAGCAACTTTGGCTGCTTTGAACAGTATTTCAGTTATATCATGGCAAGTGCAACTGGAGATTTCGGCCTTTTTTGAAACGTGCGAGTATGGGTATGACCATGACCAACCAAACAGAATCAACCATGATCAGCAGATCCTGCCATGAGTAAGGAATGTCACATTGCACAGCACAGCAAATAGTGGGACCTAAGACCAGTGGGCCCTTTGTGCTTCTTTATCATGAAGCCTAAAGAGTACATGAACTAGTCAGAAGTGGGAGTATGACATGTGGTGTGTACAAGCCCTATCAGGTGATGCGCAACATGAACATTCAGCTTCCCTGTCCCATTGCTGCAAACAAACACGTGCACTGGAGACTTTCGTATCTCACCTTGAACTTGCCGACCACTCTGCTCTCATCTGCCTCCTCGTCCCCTGTCTTTTTGCCACGGTACAACTCAAATGTGTGAAGCCATTCACGGAAACCTTCAAACTCCGACTGATTCTCAAGTTCATTGGGAAAAACCTGTGAAAAGTTACAATAGTTCTACAATCACCACTGTCAACTTTCAGGACTCACATAAACAATATACATTGATCATATAGCCAATAACATGACACAAAACATAAATTTAACCATGGAGCCTTATTAATTTATATACACTAGCAATGAAAACTCTGTCTATAACAAAATATTTTCAATTTATTTATGCAGTGTGAGAAAAGCTTTAAACGACTACAACCAACTGATACAAAACAAATACTGACAATAAACGGTAATAATTGTGATGAATTAAAAGAAAACCTAAAACCAACAAGAAAGAAATAGGAAACAGTTAAAGGGAAGCAACCCATGCACAGAACCATAGATGAGCATGTAAAATCTACTGTAGCATTTCATTGGGTTCTACAATTTGAAACTGGTGCATAGAGGTATGATGTGCTTTAGTAAAGGATATAATAAAAAACATGTTTATAAGGACGTTAGGAATGTGCACTCTAGGGCTAGGTTGTGTTTGGGTAACTAAATGATTTTTTTATATTTTCCATTTTAAAATGTCAAGATGTCGCTGCCTGTGTAGTTCACCTGACTTGAACTGAATTTGTTAAATGAGGAAGAATGAACACAAATGGCTAGCAATGAAGAAACTGCCAAGAACAATCCTGTTACTTATATATCTGTGTAAATGGAAAGGTGAAGTGAACACTGTTTCCTCAACAATATTGCAGTTATAGCATGGTGTCCGGTAAAGTCAAGACCTCACAAGCCAGAGACTGAAAGCTAAAGCTATGACTGCTGCCATCAAGGTACCAGGACCCACAGTCAGCAAGTCACAGAGCCTGACCACCTGACCCCAATTTTGGCAAATCTTACAAATGTGAGGTATTGGGAGCTATTCTCCCCAAGAATGTACACAGGGAGTATGACCAATGGTCCTACTAGGTTGTCATGGACAGGTTGTAAGTCAGTTATACATGTAGTATAGAACAAAGTGTTAGGCATATCTGCACACTAAATGTATACAAGTTATATATAGAGTATACATATATTGAGTACCAATATGGTTGCCTTGGTAACCAATCTAAAATAATTTGACAGACAATACATGAGGTCATCCATGCAATGTTCCCACTTCACAGCATTTAGTTCGGGAGAAGATTTAAGAAAGAGATCCCTGAAGATTACATGTTACCTGGTAGCTGTTGAGGAAAAGGTAAGTTTTTGTAAAAAGCAACAGTATTTTGGAAATTGTACTTGTTTTCTGCTGCATCTCAATACCTTCCCCACTGGATTAATTGAAATATACCATACGGTATGACATACCATACGGGGAAACCAAACAGAACGTTTCTACATAGTTTCTCCACTGAACCTGCCCCGGAGTGCTCTGTATGCAACATGCATGACTATCTCACACACTGGATGCATTTTACAAGCAGTGGTGTACTTTTCAGTTAAAGTATAAACGTGGCTTGGTTATGATGCCTGTTGATGGATATAATTACACTTAAATTACATGTTTATAATAGGATGAATTGTGACTTGTCCACCCAAACATATATTCTACACATTCAACTCAAGCTGCAGGAGCTCAGGCATTGCTCCTGTACAGTAAAATCAGTTGAAAATCTTTCATGCAAACTTCAAGCAGATCTGGTTTGCATGTTCCAGTCCATATGTTGATCAGGACGTGGAAGACAGTGCAGAGTTATAACAAACGTGATGGGACTGTTGAAATTTGTTTGTTATACATTTGTAGTTTGCTTCACACAAAACCCTCAACTTTTTAAAAAATGAATGTCAAATTACTAAGTCATTGGTAGAAATAAAAGTTTGCAAGTGAGATGCCAATTGATAATTTGGAAGTAGTTTTAGTGATCAGGATTGAAGCAGTGACTAGCCTCAGGAACACCACCACCACTGACACAGTTATGTGAGTGTTACTATCGATTCACCACTGATTGAAACTGCCATTAACCGAGGTTCCCCCATCTGGGTGATCTGGTGTACTTTAGTGATAACATTACATGTTCGTTGTTTGATTTACTGCTGATACAGACTGATGCTGGTTGCAGTTTCACCAGTTGGTTACTCATGAAAGGAAATAGTGATCTTAAGGTCTGTTTGGGGTGGAAAAAGGGTTGAATTATACAGATAATCCATTATGCACAATTAGTGTGTGAATGTTCTATGACAATATATAGCAAAGCAGTTAGAACTATTGAACTAGTTTGTTCTAAATGTTAGTAGTTGTATTAGTTATAATCCTGTTCTACTGAACAGAACTTTACATCAACTAATTTTGTTCAAATATTTACAATTTACAGCAAGAAAATGGAGTAATTTAGACTGATAACAAAATGATACTTTTCTCAGTTTTACATATCTTTAATGGACATGTGAAGTTATATAATAAGAAAGACTATATGAATAATAATAGATCTTGTTTATGGAGGAGGAAGAAACTCCATTCACATAAATATGAATATTTTGATGTAAATTTGATCATGCAAGTAGATGCACTTGATCATGTGATATCACACAACCTTGCATTTATACCTCAAAGATACCCTCCACATCTTGTTTTTTCTCTTCTTTTGCCTCCTCCTCAAACTCTCTTCTCATCAACTTGTTTACAAAACCATGGAACTGTGTGCAACAACAGTCATAACCATCATAGACATACTGATATAACTAGTACAAGGGTTATCTCATAGAGTGACATCTAAGACCTTGGTCGCATGTATGTGTAAATGCCCTACTGGAGGTATTCAGAGCTGCCTGGTGTGACACATAAAGCTATAATAGAGGCAAACAGCAAAACAAAATACACAACAGGAAGAAAAACAATAACAGGGATTTGTAGTCATGTTCTCAATGACCTTAAAGATTCATATTCCATGCATTGAAATGTAGAAAGTGAACCCTGACCCATAACCAATGTTACCCTGGTTTTCTGAATGAAACAATTCTCACATCTTTTAGCATTCATTGCCAGCTGATTGTCTATCATAGTCTTCACCAAACCCTGCATGTTATGATGGAGATGTCCAGGGGTATCACATGTCAAACACACCAATATGTGAGTCAACAATAATGTATTTCTTGCAATAGAGCACATAGCCACAGCTTAAAATGCCTTGTATGATTTAGATATGAGCTCTCATTACAGCAAGAAAATCAGACAGTGAGATAAATGGCCAAGATGTATGTAAATGACCATGGAGGCTTGTATTGGTGCTTTATTTAGCAAGAACAAGTAGGGTTTTCCTTCTCTGTGAGCTGCAACTATCGCGGTACCTATGGAGCACAATCAAAGACTGTCCACTCCTGTTATGATTAGCTTTTTTGTCAGTTTGAGCCAGGGACATTTTGACTTATTTCAATTCTACTTCTTGAATTGGGAAAGAAATGTTGTTACTCTGTGTGTGGGAAGTCTAACACCCTGTCTCACCTTGAGCTGTGATGTCGAGTTGAGCAGTTTGTCCTTCTTGCTTTGGGTTTTAGGTGAGAGCTGCTTTGCCAGGCTGACAGCTTTTGCAGTCCCCTTCAGTGTCTTCTTATCTCCAGCCTCCTTCTTTTCCATCTTCTTCAATTCTTTCTCCATCTTTTTAGCATGTTTTGGGTCTGTGTCATCTGAAACACAGGCAAATCTATTGATACTGCTGTTACAAGCAATATCACAAAGAATGTGGAATACTTCACCCACACTGTGATTGTATGTGATCATGTTGGTAATGGGTGAAGGATTATGCTAAACATATACTTGGCTTTCTTCATATTTTGTATCAAAGCAAGGGCCATACATGAGTTTTGCCAAAAGAATATGGTGCCATAGAGAGAGGTGGACTTACCATCCTGTGCTGTCTCCCTGGTTAGGGATGGTGCCATGTAGAGAGAGGTGGACTTACCATCCTGTGCTGTCTCCCTGCTAGGGATGGCACCATGTAGAGAGAAATGGACTTTTCATCCTGTGCTGTCTCCCTGATTAGGGATGGCACCATAGAGAGAGAGGTGGACTTACCATCCTGTGCTGTCTCCCTGGTTAGGGTTGGCACCATGTAGAGAGAGGTGGACTTACCATCCTGTGCTGTCTCCCTGCTAGGGATGGCACCATGTAGAGAGAAATGGACTTTTCATCCTGTGCTGTCTCCCTGATTAGGGATGGCACCATAGAGAGAGAGGTGGACTTACCATCCTGTGCTGTCTCCCTGGTTAGGGTTGGCACCATGTAGAGAGAGGTGGACTTACCATCCTGTGATGTCTCCCTGGTTAGGGATGGCACCATGAAGAGAGAGGTGGACTTACCATCCTGTGCTGTCTCCCTGGTTAGGGGTGGCACCATGTAGAGAGAGGTGGACTTACCATCCTGTGCTGTCTCCCTGGTTAGGGATGGTGCCATGTAGAGAGAGGTTGACTTACCATCCTGTGCTGTCTCCCTGCTAGGGATGGCACCATGTAGAGAGAAATGGACTTTCCATCCTGTGCTGTCTCCCTGATTAGGGATGGCACCATGTAGAGAGAGGTGGACTTACCATCCTGTGCTGTCTCCCTGGTTAGGGATGGCACCATGTAGAGAGAGGTGGACTTACCATCCTGTGCTGTCTCCCTGGTTAGGGATGACACCATGTAGAGAGAGGTGGACTTACCATCCTGTGCTGTCTCCCTGGTTAGGGATGGCGCCATGTAGAGAGAGGTGGACTTACCATCTTGTGCTGTCTCCCTGGTTAGGGATGGCGCCATGTAGAGAGAGGTGGACTTACCATCCTGTGCTGTCTCCCTGTTAGGGATGGCACCATGTAGAGAGAGGTGGACTTACCATCCTGTGCTGTCTCCCTGGTTAGGGATGGTGCCATGTAGAGAGAGGTGGACTTACCATCCTGTGCTGTCTCCCTGCTAGGGATGGCACCATGTAGAGAGAAATGGACTTTTCATCCTGTGCTGTCTCCCTGGTTAGGGGTGGCACCATGTAGAGAGAGGTGGACTTACCATCCTGTGCTGTCTCCCTGGTTAGGGATGACACCATGTAGAGAGAGGTGGACTTACCATCCTGTGCTGTCTCCCTGGTTAGGGATGGTGCCATGTAAAGAGAGGTGGACTTACCATCCTGTGCTGTCTCCCTGATTAGGGATGACACCATGTAGAGAGAGGTGGACTTACCATCCTGTGCTGTCTCCCTGGTTAGGGATGGCGCCATGTAGAGAGAGATGGACTTACCATCCTGTGCTGTCTCCCTGGTTAGGGGTGGCACCATGTAGAGAGAGGTGGACTTACCATCCTGTGCTGTCTCCCTGGTTAGGGATGGCACCATGTAGAGAGAGGTGGACTTACCATCCTGTGCTGTCTCCCTGGTTAGGGATGACGCCATGTAGAGAGAGGTGGACTTACCATCCTGTGCTGTCTCCCCATTAGGAATGGCGCCATAGGGAGTGGTAGATTGTTGTGGTTGTTGGGAGGACTTGTTCTCCATGTCCAGGTCGCCATCATCTCGCAGCTTCTCATGGTCCTGGAGTCAAGAACAGCAAAATGGTGACTCAGTTAGGCAGGTACTTGTGAGGGGACTACATTTCTTGTACTATTCATTTAGGTAAATGGCTGTAACCCTTAATATATAATGACAAAACGTTCCTTTTGTTTGCAGAGCATAACAGTCTGCATAGTACTGACCTGTACAGTTTGTCATCTGTACGTTCTTACTTCATTTCAATAGATACAACATCTTCATGCAGAACAAAGTTTCACTGAGAGACATGTACAAGTTTAAGAGTAACAAACATTCTAAAATCACATATATCAAGCACATTTTAGATTATGTGCTATTTTATCTGACCTTATTCTAACAACACATGGTAACAGAAACCCCTTGTTTATCATCTGCTAACAATGATTCAGTATGACACTACATCAGTTTCAAGAACAGTGAGGATCAGATGTTCAAGTGCCAACATAAATAAAGGTTTCTTCAAATGCATCTATTCTGTGTCTGCAAGGGATGCTAAAATCAAAATAATGCAAACCAAATACTACTTCCTTTCAGGTAATATTTAACAAACGTAATATCAGTTAATGTGTCATCACATTCATCTGTAAGTTTGTGGAAAACATATAGTTTCAAAGTGAAATATTCAAAGATAGAACTTTAAATGCATAGTTCATGCAAAATTAAATTCTCCAAATGTTGAAATGAGAGTAGTTCCCACATCATACCAAGCAGCACAATTGAAGCCCTTGCAATTAAAGGGAATATGGTGGACATATTTGCAAAAACCCAAACAGTGTTGATCGGAGGCATAATTCATGCTGAAATTGTGCAAATTAAGTTTGGTGGAAATCCATAAAAATACCAAAGCTACATAGCTCAGCACCTCACCTGATTACCTGTTTCCCTGTCATAAGTGCACATAATTGACAAATTAAAGATCAAATAGAAAAAGCAAAGGAAAATTGAATCTGAGACTAATACTTGGTGAATAATTGCTGGGATTATTAATGCACTGTTACAGATGTTGCAAAGATGTAAAGATGTATGTTCCCCTTGAGAATATACTCTAGTTCACAACACTATTATTCCCCTTAAACAATATACTCTGGTTAACAATGCTGCATTATTCCTCTGGAGAATATACCCTAGTTTACAACACTATTATTCCCCATGGCAATACATGAACTTCTGAATAAACTCTTGTATATTCCCCTTGACAATATACTCACAAAACCATATTATTCCACTTGAGAATACCCCGGTATACCATAGTTCACATCATTGTATCATTCCCCTTGAGAATATACCAAAGTTAACAACACTGTATCCTTCCCCTTGAGAATATACCATAGTTCACAACACTGTATAATTCCCCTTGAAAATATACTCTGGTTCACACCATTGTATCATTGCCCTTGAGAATATACAATAGTTCACAACACTGTATCCTTCCCCTTGAGAATATACTCTAGTTCACAACACTTTATCCTTCCCCTTGAGAATATACCATAGTTCACAACACTGTATCATTCCCCTTCAGAATATACCAGGTTCGCAACACTGTATCATTCCCCTTGAGAATATACTCTAGTTCACAACACTGTATCCTTCCCCTTGAGAATATACCATAGTTCACAACACTGTATCATTTCCCTTCAGAATATACCAGGTTCGCAACACTGTATCATTCCCCTTGAGAATATACCATAGTTCACAACACTCTATCCTTCCCCTTGAGAATATACCATAGTTCACAACACTGTATCATTCCCCTTGAGAATATACCATAGATAACAACACTGTATCATTCCCCTTCAGAATATACCATAGTTAACAACACTGTATCATTTCCCTTCAGAATATACCATAGTTAACAAAACTGTATCATTTCCCTTCAGAATATACCAGGTTCGCAACACTGTATCATTCCCCTTCAGAATATACTCTAGTTCAAAACACTGTATCATTGCCCTTGAGAATATACCATAGATAACAACACTGTATCATTCCCCTTCAGAATATAACATAGTTAACAACACTGTATCATTTCCCTTCAGAATATACCATAGTTCACAACACTGTATCATTCCCCTTGAGAATATACCATAGTTCACAACACTGTATCATTCCCCTTCAGAATATACCATAGTTAACAACACTGTGTCATTTCCCTTCAGAATATACCATAGTTCGCAACACTGTATCATTCCCCTTCAGAATATACTCTAGTTCAAAACACTGTATCATTCCCCTTCAGAATATACCATAGATAACAACACTGTATCATTCCCCTTCAGAATATACCATAGTTCACAACACTGTATCATTCCCCTTCAGAATATACCATAGATAACAACACTGTATCATTCCCCTTCAGAATATACCATAGTTCACAACACTGTATCATTCCCCTTCAGAATATACCATAGTTAACAACACTGTATCCTTCCCCTTTTGAATATACCATAGTTCACAACACTGTATCCTTCCCCTTCAGAATATACCATAGTTAACAACACTGTATCATTCCCCTTGAGAATATATTCTAGTTCAAAACACTGTATTATTCCCCTTCAGAATATACTCTAGTTGAAAACACTGTATCATTCCCCTTGATAATATACCATAGTTCACAAAACTGTACCATTCCCCTTGATAATATACTCTAGTTCACAACACTGTTTCATTCCCCTTGAGAATATACTATAGTTCGCAACACTGTATCATTCCCCTTGATAATATACCATAGTTCGCAACACTGTATCATTCCCCTTGATAATATACTCTAGTTCACAACACTGTATTATTCCCTTGAGAATATACCATAGTTAACAACACATTATCATTCCCCTTGAGAATATACCATAGTTCACAGCATTATGTGTGCCTGAAATCACACTAGTCTTGACATTCATCTTATCATTATGCAGGAATAAAAAACTTAGTCTTGAAAGTCAAAGTTTCTAACATGGCTTATTAATTCTTGACTGTCTTGTATTCAAAATAGAGTACATTAACATTCTCTCGTATCTAGAATAAAAATATTAGATTTCAAGTTTGGAAACATTGTTGTATTTAACTATGCAATCACTGTATAAGTGACTGACCACCTAGTCTGCCCCAGAATCCCCAATTGGAGCACCCAGGTGTACATCTCCATGTTACCACACACACTGTAGAGTCTTGCAGTACTATGCTAAAGAGAAACATTTTTGTGAGTTACTATTGTATTATCTGAACCTGAGGACAATTCCTGATTCGTGTGTAATTGTTTACAATATGTTCATTTTTTAAACAGATTTTCAGATTTTCCATCATCACATCACACCAAAAACTGTTGATCTTGGTTGTCTCTTATCCTTTCAAGCCCTGAGACTGATACAGAAATATCAACAGTATGCTGTTTGGTTTTCCTAGGCCTAATCTATTTATCCCTTGAGATTTGAGCTACACTGTAAAACAAATGCAGAATCTAAGAATTGTTCTAGTCTGTCATAAGATGTTCTGCTGACACGGCAACACTGATGCACTGTAGAAGTCATACATATGATAATTCAAGAAAACATGCAATCAAGTGTTTCAAATGAAACATCCATATCAATGATAAGAAAAGACAAATTGCACTAGAAAATTCATTTTGGACAACAGAAACATTTGAAAATAGGTATATAGGATCCCCTTCACCTCATTCTAAAGCAAGATCACTTATTGTATTTTGAAAAGATCAAGCAAACACATGGAAGAGTCTTCATGATATTGTTGTCACATCAGAAGAACTGTCACATATCAAACTCCAAAATGCATCCAGATCTATTTAAGAAAAGAGAAACAGAATAGGGGTAAGCTCATGTGTAGTAAGTTGCAATGGTTCTTGGTGAATGAAAGGGAAGCTGTATGGCACATACACAGGGCTAGCCTGCTCCGCCTTATGCACAAGAAAGCATACCTGATTTTCTCTGTACAAGATGTTTTAAAGAAAGTGTGACTGCTCAGCAGAAAGACCTGTTACTGAATGAACCGTTGCAAGATACTGTATAAAACTGAAGAAGGAATGAATGCACTGGGCAGTTGCAGAATGCAAGCAACCAAATGGTTTTACCTCACACCATGAATCTTTTCTTGGGGCCTGCACAAACACATAAGGTAAACTACGTGAAGCAACACAAAACAACGGGCACATACTGTCTGCACAACACAACTGACATGACAGGGTACATGTGTACATAACACAAGACATTCTAGTCACAGTGGTCAGCAATTCACTGGCATATCCTGTAGAATGTTCTTGTGACTGTAGATACATGTTAAGGGCAATTCTGGCTTTGTTCAACATTGGTCATGAAAAGATATTATCTTTTACACCAATATTTCTAAAACAGAGCAACGAACATAGTACATCTACGTCCTTAAGTTTTACTTATGGTCATGGTACAACTGACACACAATCATATTGTCCTGAGAAGTCATTTGTTCTTGAAGTCCAACACAGTACTGCTCCTGTATTATGGATACAGGCTGCACATCCAGCAAGAAGATGGTGACTAGCTTTGTTCCAGGATGACGAATCGTGTAAAATATCTGTGTACATGTATCACAATGTTGAGGCTGACCTTATTCCATTGAATCCAGATTTCATTCACAACAATGATATTATAAAGCTGTTTTCATCAAGGTTTGACTTCTGTAAATACTTTGTGATATGTTATACTTAAAACATTTTTTCCTTTACCAAATTCAAATTGTGCCGGGGACCTCCATGGATTGACTGTGTACTGATTAAACTTGCTGAGTATAAACTGAGGAGGGCTGAAGTGTTGGTGTACATAACGTGGCCATGCCCTGTTGGACTGCACATGCCAGTGCTCTAGGACTTTGTTGACAACTAAACAGGTGCAGGGGGACTAGGAACTACTATACTGACAGAAAGTGACTCAGGAAAGATGTTCAAGTCAAGTTTGGATATTTTAATTTTAGGGTTCAAGTGTGACGACACCAAAAGCAGAAACTTGATTTAGGCTCATGCTAATTTTATTACTTTTGGTTTGAACTACATTTTCATTACTACACTTATCCCACAGTCCATGTCTATAACATGATGGACAAGTGCGGTATGTGACTCTGTGAGGTGATGAAGAGTCAACAACAACAACAATAATAACAACAGACTCATGCAATCTCTACCAGTGTGCACTGCGGTTCAAAGTACATGTACAACAATTTTAGAAATTGGATACTTTCATTATTTTGATTGTCTATTGATTTTTTTAATGTATATGGTTATACATTGTTGTTAGGAAGGAATAAGTAGTTTCAGGAATATGCATAACCGAGAAATTGATTGCACCTGGTCTGGGAGAGGTGAGTCCTGACTACAGACAGACAACATGGATCATGAGACACCAACATACGCGTATCATGGTTTCCACTGAGGCAAAATACTTGCTCCACCAATCAAGGCTCTCCATATCTGGCTCATCATCATCGATGGACTGACGCTTCTTCTTCCTGTTTTCAGCTGTCTTCAGGTCCTTGGCACTTGGTACATCTCCCTGTGTCACAGAAGTATACTTCCATTTATCATATATTCGTTGGGGTCATATGCGGATAGAGATGCAAATATCAAAGGTAAATTAGGGATTACTTTCCGTGTTTATAAACAAACATGGCGTTGCCCTCGTCATTCGGCGATCGAGTCAGAATTAACCATCGGGATTCTGGATAAACTACAGGGATAATTGCTATCATTATCAAAAGAAAAGTCTAATATACTGAAAATCAGTGTCTAACTGTGATGTAGCTAAGACATTTTATAAGTTTTTATAAGTAAGGCAACTTTGGAGATATAAATTTCCAAAAAAAATTGCGAGGGCACTAGACCTAGCCAAGCGGGATCAGTAGCCATATCTGTGCTTGTAGACCTCTGCAGCTTGAAACCTTCTCCACAAATTAAAATAATTGGATTTGGCCGAAATATATTTGAATTGTTACCTTGTTTCATTTTATGCTGTGTGTACATCTGACAACACTTCTTAACGTTATGACAGGACAGACCGACTGTCACCAACGTCTGAACATGGCCAACTTATAGACTAGGGTTAGAGTAGCTTCCCTTTGACAAAGGACAGTAGTTACTCTAGCGGACAGACCGATGGATTGCCACGAAAGGCAATTAAAAACAATTGTTGTTTTGTGTATATATATTGCTTCGCCACTGTAAAAGAAACAGATTTCAATTGGAACTATATTGGCTATTGTCACAGTCCGACTGACATCACTTACCCTGTGATGTAATAAATATTAATGCACACATTCCAGGAAAACTCGCAATGTTTCGGTAATATTTGTGTGAGAGAGAAAGCGATTTTGAAGCACAGAAATAAAGGAAGACATTATATGATAAAGAGGCTATCACACTTGTGTGTTTGGGGATGGTAAATATCCTGTATTAGGAATAAACACTATGTATTTAGCTTGCCAAGGTTTGCTAAATACAATGTTTATACCTAATGCAGGATATTTACCATCTCCAAACACTCGCGTGATAACTTCTATTTACATGTCTACCTGACAGTAGGTGAACAGCAGTATATATAATCAAAGAGCAATCTTTGATAGTGATTCATAAACACATGCTCATGATATAGTCAGAGTCATAGAATTGACTCTGATTTTGGCAGAGATTTCTTACGGATATCCAAAGTGTGTTCTTGCTTAGTGTAATCACATTTTTAAAATGCCTTAAAACCACAATGCCATGTGTGACAGTATGAAGTGATGTCTTCTAATTCTGTAATGAAGCTACTGGAGAATGTCTACTCACTGTGTTGATTGTGATAAGATGTTCCTTTTTAATAAGGGGCTGAGATTCGTTGATAGTGATGGCGACATCGTTTGCCTTCACAGAAACCTGCCCTGTCCTGATGACCTTGGTGGCATCAATTCCTTTACCTGGTAATAAAGGCAACAGCAGAATCAGGCTAGGATCATTCCTGCAGCAGACCATTTGTCTGATTTAGTACATCAATGCAAAAGTAACATGACAAATTTTTCCAAATGTTTTTGAAAATGATGAATGACAAAAGCCATGATGGTACATCCTTATTTTGCAATCCAGCTTGCAAGGCCATATAGTGTTGTTGAACATTTATCAAGATCACAAAGCTAGTAAAATCTAGATATCTTTTTATATTTGTATACTTATCTTGACATACTCCTTAATGCATTTACCGCTCACTTCTGACATATAATGAAGCTGTAATGGGTTTAGCTGAAGAGAAAAAGTTGTTACACTTACAGATGCAGGGCCCAAATCATCAACTGCCACATCATTCCAGATGTAGGGATGTTACGGATCTCCATATTACTGTTGGTCACGCGTAAGTTTGCTGAAGATATCGCAGGGAGGCAGGTCCTATGATGGGTGGACCCTTGTAATGCAGGATAAGTATACAAATAAAAAAAATATCTCGATTTTACTAGATTTAAAAATTTATCCTGCATTACTACTTAACACATCTGTATCTGACGGCGGGGATACCTTCAGATGTGTCCTCAGTAAACACTCTCACCATGTGCAGTCGTGTGAGCCATGCGGCGCAATTCTTCTGCACAGAGCGGTAACTGATCAACCCATCCTGTCCACGGTAGGTAACAAGAGTATGAGTATGTCCGTATGAACAAACAGTAAGAGACAACAGTGTGCTAGGGTCTAAAGACTGGATTACCAAGCCATGACTGCGTAAAATTGGCAAAAAAAACTAACAAGCGAGTAAAAATACTATGTGAGTCAGGTAAGGCTGGCTCTGGGCTGTAAGGCTGGTTGCGAGTTGGTCACCTGCTGGGTTACAAAAGCGGACCAAAACTCTGAATGCCCTCAACGTCTTCTAAGGTCACATCCTTCAGGAAGTGGCTGGCGAAGACCGAGTCTGACCTAAAAAAACATCCTTCCATGATGACTCCAGATGAACAATTACTGTGTAGAGCCATCATCAAGGCAACCACACAAATCTCGTGGGGGTTATTGGCAATCTCATATGCCTGAAGGATGATAGCTCCCAACCATAAAGAAAGGATATTGTGGCTGACTTCGATAGTGGACGTCTGAGAAATAGGAATAAATAACCGTTTTCCCTCACCACACCTACTCTTGGAGTGGTGGATGAAAACTTGAAATGCGCACTGGGCATCCTCGTCTCCAAAGTCCACAATTGATGATAAGGTGGGATGGTGAAAGAACGGTCTGGTTGTCCTGGAGGCTGTTTCTTTTCCATAAAATCCCAGCATAAACAGAGGTGAACCACTCTGTGCGTCCCACGCTCAAAGCATACATGAGTGATGTCAAGCATATGAATCTCGCTCATTTTTGCCACTGTGGCTAGTGCCACAGCGATGGATACAGGTGGGTCTTTCAATCTGATGTGAGAAGTCAGGAACTGTTGGATCAGGCCTAATTGCAACTCACCCCTGATCGTCAAGTCCTGTGCTGATGTAAACAGTCCCAGAAGCAGTTACCATTGGTGAAGTGTGATGGGCTGCTGAAGGGCGGGGTACAGATGGCGTAGGATCCTGATCCATCTGTCCCTTGGCACTATTAAGAGGTCTAGATCTGTCTGGAACAGGCCTCCTATGAACTGGAGTCTGTAGGATGGAATTAGTTCTGACTTTGCCTCGTTCACTTTCCAATCCAGTTGATATAGCAGGCGCCTGGTGAAATCACAGTGACTGGTTAAGATTCCTGCAACTGGATGATTCAGTATGCAATCCTCTATGTACGACTTGAACCTGATGTTCCTCAACTGGATGAACTGGAACCTGAAGGACTGCTGGTCGCTGGGGTGGATGGGCACTTGCATCCTGCAAGTCAAGGCTGATCAGGGAATCGTGAGCACTGATGCTGCCCCTGGGCAGTCTGAAGGTTATGAGATGGAAGTAGGGAGGATGCTCAAGGTAAGGTTCGTTGCACAAGGCAAGGTTGTGTGTCATTCGCAGCTTGTTCAAATACCTCATGGGAATGAGGAACATGAGAGAGTAGAATCTTGGCGTTAAGGCTTAGGTCTGCGCAACCTCTATGGCTCACTTCTCCCACAGAGTGGGTCCTGTTGTCAACCGTTGGCCAACAAGTTGAGGCAGTACCCGTACCTTATGATGTTGAGAGCATAACGGTCTGCCATACCAATCCAATTGCTCCAAAACAGGCCTAGTCTCCCACCTACTGGTGTGTCAACTATTGGGACGACTGAAGGTGGGAGATCCAAGTCTTGATTGGCCACTGGCTCAATGTTTCCTCCTCCAGTCCCCGCTCCTACCCTGGGAATTAACCCTATGGGATTGATAGGAGCCTTGGCCTTTGCCCCTGTCTCAGTTCTGGGATAAATGCTCAGCAGGTGGCAGTGATCTCAGCTAAGGCTGCCTTGACGTGATTGTGCATGTGGTCAATCTACCTCTGTTGAAAATCCACAACCTTCTGGAAGTGATCAATCCTGTTGCTATTGATCTTGGTAGGATCTTGATCCATTGCCCATGATGATGAGGCTAATGGCGGCAAAGGTTTGAGGGACCGGACCACCTGATATGCGTCTCTATTAAAGTGAAGCAGCTGTCAGGGATCTTAATAGTAATTGGCTTGGATGAGCTTATCATCTTATGGAGATCCTCGTTCAGGTTGTGAGCATGGTCTGCCACCCCAAAAGCATGTATGGGAAAGTTATCCCTTTTGAATTTTGGTGCTTTGGTGCGCTGGATTGATGGTCAATTGAGAAAAATCCTCATCCAGTGCTCTGACCATATCCGTCATCATTTGCTCAGGTGGGATGGAAGTCTACGCCTGAGCCAGGAGAAGGTGCTACCACTGATAAGCAGTCTGCCATCCAATCTGGCACCTGGACAAGGCTGAGGTGTGTATCCCACTCTGAGGGGTTATCAAAAGACTCAGCCAGACACCTCAGAGGAGTCTGATAAATAGTGTTCTGAGTGGCAAACAGGTGAGCGGCTCCTGAGACATCGCTTGGACCTTGATGATCTGGAGGAATGTGCTGGGAGATAATGAATCCTGTGATGTGATCCAAGACAAGGATGGGGTACCTAGGCACATCCCGGGCGCAGCCATAGATGTAGAGGGGACTGAAACAGTTGCCATTGTCTGTTGAGCAGGAGGCACTACAGGTGCTAGAGGTGTCACACAAGCTTGGGTAGCTGTGCAAACCTTAGGTGCAAGTGGATCGTAATGCACCAGAGGCGCTAGTGTAGATTGCTGATAGGTAGGCGTCGGCATCTGAACAAAGGAAGGCGCGTGCGCTTGCTGAAACATGGCCTGAATACAAATCTGCATCCACATCATGTCCATGTAGGGCCCCGGCGGGAAGAAAGCTTGTGGTGCAGTGAGGAACCTGGGAGGAGCAGTTAGCAACTAGCCATGACGGGCAGTCAGCACAGGTGACACGAGCAATGCCCCGTTAGCAGCTACTGCAGGCAATGTCAAAGTGCCCGGAGGCGCAGGCAGTGTAGATGTGCCCCGAGGCGCAAACATCATGAATGTATCTGGTGGCGCTGTCATGGTAGAGATTCCTGAAGTAGTAGAGTCTATTAGAGGCGCCTTGAGGCACTGCTGAAGCCATAACTACAGTTGTTGGCTGTGATTGGGCCTTTGACGCTCGAGTAGATGTAGCCATATTGCTCTGCGCTTGGGTCGAGTGAGGTGACTGCAGGATGTCGAAGGTCCCTATAGGCGTGGATAACGCCCAACATGAAGGTTGGGTAGTAATAACCGTGGAAGTCTGCAACATGGACTCCTGGGAGTCCGACATCCTCTTGGAGCGCCGCTGAGATTGTTGAGCCAGGCGCTTGAAAGATATTTGCTGGTACCTGTTAAAACTTGCAGGAGAAAGCAGTGAACAAAAGTTACACTTGAGCCCCAAAGTGCAGAACAGTTTAATACCGTGTGAGGATCTTTGATACCGGTGAAGCTGAAATCAATTCCCACTGTTTTTACAGTTGTATTAACAAGTGTTGGAGACGATGTGTACAAGTGATTGTGGAATAAACACGCTGAATGTGAAGCAAACATAAGCCTAGTTAGTTACAACATAGTTAATTGGCGATTAAATTACTCACCATTGTCTCTTATATGTTATTTCTTCATAAATGAATTTTATTTTACGGGCACCAATTTGGTGTCGTACCGTGTAAACACAAAATGGCGACGTGTGCTGGAGTTACACACGCGACCTATCATTGTAGAAAAAAACAACAACGCAAGATAAACATATTTTTATTGCATATATAAGGTTTGTGTACTTGGCACTTGTGATGTCCGTGTGCGAAATACGCTACAGTCGGAAAGTGCACGTTAAATCTTCTATATCAGTCAGACTTGTGATGTGTTTCAATCCAGGTCGCCTTATACACGGAGTATAGAATTTTGGGTTGATTTTTAAGGCGTGTACAGGGGGGTCGTCTTATACGTGGGGTCGCCTTATACACAGCGATATACGGTAGATTTGTTACCCCAGCAATTAGTACAACCCGCAAGCAGAAAATTGCAAAGCAATTTACGTTGAAGTTGTGAATAGAATAAGACATGTAATACACTATAAACGCCATTAGACGGCTAAAGGTATTTATTCGCAATGCTAATACTGAGCCAACACTGAAAAACAGAACTTACGCCACAAAAAGCGTGACACTTCAGCAAATTCAAGATGGCGGAATGGAACCTCAACATGTGAAAAACTTTCACTTTCATGAGCTAATGTAAATATTATTGCATATAAACAACACCAAACTTTGACACCACCAGTCAAAGGGAGAGGTTGTTAGAAAGCTTGAATACCATGGGTCAAAGGGAGGGGTTGTTAGAAAGCTTGAAGACCATGGGTCAAAGGGAGAGGTTGTTAGAAAGCTTGAATACCATGGGTCAAAGGGAGGGGTTGTTAGAAAGCTTGAAGACCATGGGTCAAAGGGAGGGGTTGTTAGAAAGCTTGAACACCATGGGTCAACCATGGGACCAATTTTGAAGCACAACTTGTCTGTCCAGTGACCAAGAGTAAAATGGAGATCCGTAACATCACCACTTCTGGTATGACGTGGCAGCTGATGCTTTCTCTTCAGCTCATAACAGCTTCGTTTTCTGTCAAAAGTAAGCAGTAAATGCATTAAGGAATAATGCAGGAAAAGTTAAAATATATATACAGACAATACATATGATCTAGAATACACTAGGCTACACCATGAATATCACTTGAAAGGTGTTGCTGCAAAGAATGTCCACTCATCATTACAGAAGATTCTGTAAGACTAGACTTGCATTACGTGTCATCATATTGGTATGTAGTTGGATGGAGATGTTGTGAACCTCTTCATCTCCTCCTGTTTACCACATCTACCACTACATGTGCTAAGGCTGCTTCTTGAGAGGATACTTCTTTCATGCAAGGTGAGGTCTTTATTGGGTAGCTCTACTACTGTATGTATACATGTACTATATTGCATCTTGGCTACATTGGCCCTGGGCACGGCATTGGGTAGAGGAGAAAATACTTTAAAAAAACAGGTAAGTCATATTCCTAATGTTCTCTTGTCACGTTGTGACATGCCCTTGATTTCCATCTGTGTGCCTACATTCCCATCCGTATGCCTACATTCCTATCCGTGTGCCTACATTCCCATCCATGTGCCTACATTCCCATCCGTGTGCCTACATTCCCATCGGTGTGCTTATATTACCATCTGTGTGCCTACATTTACATCTGTGTGCCTACATTCACATCTGTGTGTCTATATTACCATCTGTGTGTCTACATTCCCATCCGTGTGTCTACATTCCCATCTGTGTGCCTACATTAGCATCTGTGTGCCTACATTCCAATCTGTGTGCCTACATAACCATCTGTGTGCCTACATTCCCCTCTGTGTGTCTACATTCCCATATGTGTGTCTACATTCCCATCTGTGTGCCTACATAACCATCTGTGTGCCTACATTCCCATCTGTGTGCCTACATTAGTATCTGTGTGTCTATACTACCATCCATGTGCCTACATTAGCATATGTGTGCCTACATTCCTACGGTGTGTCTACATTCCCATCTGTGTGCCAACATTCCAATCTGTGTGTCTATATTACCATCTGTGTGCCTTCATTAGCATCTGTGTGCCTACATTAGCATCTGTGTGCCTACATAACCATCTGTGTGCCTACATTCCCATCTGTGTGCCTACATAACCATCTGCGTGCCTACATTACCATCTGTGTGCCTACGTTCCCATCTGTGTGCCTACATTCCCATCCGTGTGCCTACATTAGTATCTGTGTGTCTATACTACCATCTGTGTGCCTACATTCCCATCTGTGTGTCTACATTCCCATCCGTGTGCCTACATTAGCATCTTCGTGCCTACATTGGCATATGTGTGCCTACATTCCCATCTGTGTGCCTACATTCCCATCTGTGTGCCTACATTAGTATCTGTGTGTCTATACTACCATCTGTGTGCCTACATTCCCATCCGTGTGTCTACATTCCCATCCGTGTGCCTACATTAGCATCCGTGTGCCTACATTAGCATATGTGTGCCTACATTCCCATCTGTGTGCCTACATTCCCATCTGTGTGCCTACATTCCCATCTGTGTGTCTATATTACCATCTGTGTGCCTACATTACCATCTGTGTGCCTACATTCCCATATGTGTGCCTACAATCCTACGGTGTGTCTACATTCCCATCTGTGTGCCTACATTCCCATCTGTGTGTCTATATTAGCATCTGTGTGCCTACATAAGCATCTGTGTGCCTACATTCCCATCTGTGTGCCTACATTAGCATCTGTTTGCCTACATTCCCATCTGTGTGCCTCATCTGTGTGCCTACATTCCCATCTGTGTGCCTACATTCCCCTCTGTGTGCCTACATTAGCATCTGTGTGTCTATATTACCATCTGTGTGACTACATTCTCATCTGTGTGCCTACATTCCCATCTGTGTGCCTACATTACCATCTGTGTGCCTACATTCCCATCTGTGTGTCTACATTACCATCTGATTTAAAGATTTACTAAGATTAAGAATAAGCCAAGTGCTAGTTTGTTCAAAACATATTAAACATGCTAGAATCACAAGCACAAGCAGTTATCAAAACAAACTAAACCATTCCAAAAATGTGAGAAAAGGAAGAGCAGTATCTGAACTAACTACCAGCATATGTAACTATTTGTCACAATAACTCCTAAAGCAGATACAAACCTAAATTAAACAAAAATGCATCATTGTTATCGACAGGCAAATAGTATCTTGCATATATAATGATTTGCATTTATCTTACTACATGATAACAGAACATAAATCTACAAGCACAACAATTCAAGCAAAATCAGTTTACTCATCAAAGGTGCATGATCAGATTCAAGTTTCTAAGACCCATGATGTGTTTTCATATTCTAAAAATATATGTTTTGTTTGGACACTCAATATCTTTTAAATTTTAGTATGACTGCAAATGATGTTTAACCACCACTAAATAAGTCCATCCTCATTTCTTGCAGTGCAACCCAGGCTTTGACCTGACTATTCCATGCACTGATTAGTTCAATCTGCACACAGTAATAGTGTGGCCATTCACTACAGAAACCATGAGGGATGCAATTGGCCTCATAGAGACTGGTTCCTTTCAGTATTTCCACTGGTTATCTTTATGATGTGCACAGATGAAATATTTTTTTCAGCCTCTTTCAGTTTTTTAACCAGCAGCCTGCTTGGTACTTCGATCCCTTTCATTCATGCTAGTGCCAATAACATTGAACAGGGCTAGTAGATACATGTGTATTAGGTTTTCAGGATTTGTCTCCCTGTTTGAAATCTGATTTGCACCTTGATATCTGTGAATGATAGTGTACCGCCTAAGTAAAATAGTTCTGTCTTTCAAAAAAGTGATAATAAATCAATATTTTAAATCTAAACAATGACACTAGTGCTATTGAAGATAGCATCTATATACATAGCAAGCCAACAAGGCAACAAGATAAAAGAGGAAACTGTATTCACATGCATGAATACAAAACATGCCTGTGACTTGCTGATAGTGAAAAGACTATACATAGTACCTGAACAAGTTTGAACTAAAGTATGACTTTGTGATGGCCTTGTTTTATGCCATTTGATGCTCTCATGTCAAACTTGAATGGTGTATCTATTATTCTCTTGCTATTAAGTTTGATAGCTTATCCTATTGGTATTGCACTTACTTTTGATGTGTACTGATGCAAATATTCAACTCAGTCATAGCAAGTGTTAACTCTACAAGTTACACATAGCAATACCTCTGCAGACATACATGTTGGCATAATTGAGAATTTCAGCTTCATCTATGCCCAACCCATAAAGCAAAGATGAACAATCTTCTCAACCAGATATGTCCCTATGACATGCAAGATCTATAGAGAAAGTAAGAAACACAATAGAGGGGTAGTGTTCTGGCATTTCAGCTATATCCTATAAGGTACATTTGTAAGTAGACAGCTCTACTAATATCTTCACTATTGAAATAGTCACTATGAACATAGATACAGAGAGATTATTATATGAGCATGTGTGTCATACTGATTTTACGAAACGATTATCAGTATTCTTGTATTTTCTCAGTGAGAGTGGGGTAATACATGAATTCTTACACAAGTTTCATAAAATCAGTATGACACACATGCGAGTGAAATAATTTTTTATAACCAATTATTTCTAAATACTTTTGAGCTCTCCTTCAGGAAGAAGCACTGATCACGGATGCCGCCTCAGGAAGCCACAATTGTCAAATGGCGTCAACAATTTTCAGCTATGACGTTGTTTCTAGTGTGACGTTGTAACATTACAATAAGATTCGAATGAAGTCACCAATGCCATCCGGATGACGAAAACAATACACTAACTAGTGCGTGTGAAGTGATATTTGCTCTAGTGCACATATGATATTTATTAACTTTGGGTAATAAATACCAGTATTAATGATCATTACTGTCAGTAGAATATACATTATAGGTGGTGCTGTTTTCAAGCATCATATGTATTGTTAACAGGTACATTCTTTTGATCAAGATGCTTCAAGGCACTGATTACACGATCATTCAAAGCTTACATTATGACATTATGACATTATACGAGATAGCTCAAAAACCTTGAACACATCTTCATAAGTAAAGGAACACCCTAAAGTGATTCATAACTAAGATAAAAGCTAAAAACAGCTTCATCAATCTTGAAAGAAATGTATGCTCAAGGCTAACTGAGCTTGATTATATATCACTAGAGTGGTAGGTATTAGGTAGGTCACATGTAATACACTGTACCCTGATTTCATGCACTACCATATCTATACGTGAAGTAAGCAGTTAGCAGGATATTGGCATGAACACATCCCCTTCGTGATCATGGATACACAATCTGCCGTGTGCCAACCTTCTTCTACAATCTAGGTGAATCACTTTAGAAACATAATGTAATGAAGGAAGCAGCTACATGGACTGACGGACGGACGGACGGACACTCCCTGGTTAGACACAAAAGGGGCAAGCCATTCCACTTACTCGGGACATCCAGAGTGGTTTGATCTAGGAGCAAATGATACATCTGTTACTGGCAAATATTCCAAGTCTTTATACAACAATAAACAACATTCCTGTCGACCTGACATTGTGCAAGCGTGAAGCCTGCAGCGCTACCTCAATAACATGTTGTCAGTAGCAGCAACACAGATATAAACAATCAAACCTTATGACCAGAAAAATATATTCTGGGCATTTTGTTTGCAAGTCATATGACCCTAACAAAATAACAATGCCTGAAAGATAACAATAGTGGAAACAATGTGACCCCTGATGATGGCATCACACAGAGGGGGAAGGAAAAGCTGTCCCCACAGTCATGCATCTCACACACTTCCAGACAGATTACACAGGTAAGTCAAAGTTAGGCCAAAGAAATAAATGAAAGATTAAGCATGAAACTTCTGAATCAATCCAGTGCTGTGGTATTATGTAACACCTGAATCAATACACTGCTGTGGTATTATGTAACAACTGAATCAATCCTACTGCTGCGGTATTATGTAACACCTGAATCAATACACTGCTGTGGTATTATGTAACATCTGAATCAATCAACTTCTGTGGTATTATGTAACATCTGAATCAATCCTACTGCTGTGCTATTATGTAACATCTGAATCAATCCTACTGCTGTGCTATTATATAACATCTGAATCAACCCAGTTCTGTGGTATTATGTAACATCTGAATCAACCCAGTTCTGTGGTATTATGTAACAACTGAATCAATCCTACTGCTGTGCTATTATTTAACATCTGAATCAATCCAGTTCTGTGGTATTATGTAACATCTGAATCAATCCTACTGCTGTGCTATTATGTAACATCTGAATCAATCAACTTCTGTGGTATTATGTAACATCTGAAAGGAGTAAGATTGATTCAGTTGTCAGTAAGGGACCAATTCAAAAGTTTGATGTCGGATAAAAAACTTCATTCCATAAGTTTTGAGGCATATTCCCCCACACTCCAAAAAACTTGAGAAAATGTTTAAGTCTGGAGTTTCGTGGACTCACGCATTCTTGTGTTTTCCCCTGCTTTCGTTCATCAACTCAAGTGTATTTACAAGATGTTGAAAATCATTTGTAGGGTTTGTTTAAATAAAATCTGCCATTCTATATTACACACTTCACTAGATTGACTTACCACTATTGTTGGTGATGAAAATAAAACCTACCTTGTGTAAAAACTGGATGTATTGATGACAACTCCTAACAGCATATGAATGAAAACAGGATCAGTTTAGTTTTTGTTACTATATTCAACATTGAGAAATCAGGTAAGTGGATTTGGGCAGATGGAAAACTTGCAGAGCCATTGACCCCTACCCCTAAACTTAAGGAATAGAGATTTTTATCCAACATCAAAGTTTTGAACTGGTCTGTAATGATGTGAAAGATCCAGGCATATATAGGTACAAATACATTGCAGAAAGGTTCAAATGCTGCAAGAGGTTTTTTGAAGCATACTGTGTGTCTAGTGAGAACTCCTGCTTTTACATCATGATCATGCTCTACATAACATGGCAACATGTCATCAGTGATACCAGTCAACTGACTTACTTGAGTCTTCTACCTCAACATAAGATGTTTCCTCTAGATGGGGAAATGCATATCATATCACAGCATGTATGTTGTACTCTACTGTACGACTTCAATTTAATATGAAATTACCAAATGTATCATGTGTCATCACACGACATCACTGGTCTGGTTTCATAAAGTTTCACAGATTACGTTTCTGATTTGGTATCAACATCTAAAATTCCGCTCATATCATCAGCATAATCACTATTTACTGGTTATTGAATAAAAGATCCCAAATACCATGAAACCTGAAGGAGAAAAACAAAAGAAAGAACTTAATACAGCCCAATAAAGAAAGTCTCACATGCAAACCTGTGGCACTCCTTCAAGGATTAATAGCATTAGTAGGAAGAAATATAGCTATTTAGTTCAGTCTCTTCATTCCCGATAGTAGGATGTAAGGTTTCCGTGAATACTTTTGTAACAGCCTCTATGCAAGGTAAGTCTGTGAACTTACTTGAAGTTTCTGGCATAGGTTTATCTACAAACCAAAATTATTTTGTTCATGTAAGATAACTACAAGTAGAATAGAATAGATGCTTTACACTACTCCAGGTAATATAAACAGATGATTACAATTATAACAGAAACATTTGACGTTAATGTTTTAATTTAGAATATGAATGAGTATGCACATTTAACTCAAATTAACAAAGTTGCAATATTTGGAATGTCTCTGTATACCACATCATCATAGATTTGTTTTCCATTACAAATTGTGGAATCTATTACTTGTTCAATCTGAATGTTACTCAACAAGAAACCAAACTACGTCGTATCTAACTTACTGAGGGGCACATCAAGCATGTGGACGTCAAGCAAGATGGTGGGTTGGGCTGGAGCTGCTGTGGGCAGGGCTTCAAGTACCCCAGTAGGAAGGGCTTATTGGAAACAGTAGCATAACTTTGACTTGTCAGTAACAAATCTTCTAATAAATTGCTTAGGAAGGTTTACACACAAATAATAAATTTTACATATGAATAAACACATATTCATAGTTCATAGATACTCACTTATTGAGGATTTCAGGTATATTTTACATATGAATAAACACATATTCATAGTTCATAGATACTCACTTATTGATGATTTCTGGTATATTTTCATATGAATAAACAAATTATTAATATTTCATAGATACTTGCTTGTTGGTATACATAAGCAGGCAATAATCTTATGGAAATTTTCAAAAGCAGATTTCACAAGCAATTTTTCTTTTCTTTTTGGCCACTTTCACCTACAGATGTCTACATCTCATGATAATGATATATACATAGAATCAGACCATATTAATTTCAGCAATATTATTGTTCTTACCGGACTTTGACTCTAAAATATGTTAAAAGATATTCTAATTGCATTCATGAACAGGTGTTTACAAAATGATTATTCAGTGGTGAGTTTGTTACAAGGTCTGACTATATCTGAATGTCCTTGAGAATGTATTGTTTAGTATGGTTTTAATTTCAGTGCCACAGAATTATCATGCTGAAACTTACTTGACCTCTCTGTTGTTTTATCACCTAAAACAAATAAGGAAAAACAAACAAAAACTAAAGTAAACCCATCTGACTATGGTTCCCTTTATAATACAAAATGTAAAAACTTCTTTAAATACCCAATGGCACATGACAAGGTATCTGTCACTGCTTCTTGGGACACACTGGCAACCTTCCTATGGTAGTGATGACATCAATCAAGGGTTCAATCCAGTGAACCTGCAACGTAGCTTAATTATGCAGACTTCCAACATGAACTTCCTACACTAGACTTACGTCTGTGGCTATGTGCACACAACCACATGGTCTACAGCATGACGTGGAAGTGTGACAGCATGATGGTGAGACTGATGGAAGTGCACTTGGTGACAGCAGTGAGACACATATCTATAGCACAGCACACAACAATACATGTCGAAGCAAATTTATTATTAACAATTGAAGCTTGCTACTGCTTGCTGTGCTTCTGATGCCTACATTGTTGTATCTTGCATTCTGGTGATGATGATGTGTCAATAAGATGCTCTTGACGCTTGATTGAAGGGCAAACTCACCTGGGAAGAGCTTCTGGAGAACGTTCTTGGCCTTCTTGGTGGTGGGCACAAACATAAACTTGTGGATGTTGCTGATGACGTGTGTACCCACAAGCACAAAGCGGCCAAAACTTCGACAGTCAACACACCGGATTGAAATAGGTGGACAGTACATCTCATTCTCTGGCAGTTCCTGAATATACAGCATTTCTGTTTGTAATCTCATAATATTAAGAACACATGACATCTAGAGTTGTGTATTTGTTTTGCTAAAGTAGAAATGTTTTATGGAACTCATTTGAAAACTACTTCCTGAAGGCTGTAAACATGTCATAATGGTGGGGCACTCACCACATCAAAGTACTTGACTGGAATGTTGAAGTTGGGATTCTTCTTGGTGTTGAGGATGATAGAAGACTGGAGGACATGGCCTGCACATTCAACATCAATCCGGGGGTGATCCACAGTCTGCAGCTGCACACGCTTCAGGTCCCTCACCCCCCAGAACAGCACCTGTACAGGGACAGACCTCTCTGGATACAACACTCACACTTGATACAGCAACACTGAGACAGCTGCACACGCTTCAGGTCCCTCACCCCCCAGAACAGCACCTGTACAGGGACAGACCTCTCTGGATACAACACTCACACTTGATACAGCAACACTGAGACAGCTGCACACGCTTCAGGTCCCTCACCCCCCAGAACAGCACCTGTACAGGGCTAGACCTCTCTGGATACAACACTCACACTTGATACAGCAACACTGAGACAGCTGCACACGCTTCAGGTCCCTCACCCCCTAGAACAGCACCTGTACAGGGCTAGACCTCTCTGGATACAACACTCACACTCGATACAGCAACACTGAGACAGCTGCACACGCTTCAGGTCCCTCACCCCCCAGAACAGCACCTGTACAGGGACAGACCTCTCTGGATACAACACTCACACTCGATACAGCAACACTGAGACAGCTGCACACGCTTCAGGTCCCTCACCCCCAGAACAGCACCTGTACAGGGACAGACCTCTCTGGATACAACACTCACACTTGATACAGCAACACTGAGACAGCTGCACACGCTTCAGGTCCCTCACCCCCCAGAACAGCACCTGTACAGGGACAGACCTATCTGGATACAACACTCACACTCGATACAGCAACACTGAGACAGCTGCACACGCTTCAGGTCGTACAATAAAACACTGCAGGGAGAATAAACCACAAGGAGCTGTCTTACATAAAATGTAATATATCTTTATACAAAGGGATTTGATAAGGTATGTATACCAAACAGAATAAACTGTAAATCTAAATGGATTATGAGTATTGTTATTTTCTAGTGCCATTATACTTTCGATCATTTTTAATCATTAAAATATGTCTGCATTTTACATCCCACTTCAGTGAAACCCTCACAAACTGCAAGTACTCACTTCTTGTCTTTATGGAGTCAGAAGATCCAGTGTTACAATACAACAACACTGAGAGAGCTGCACATGCCCCAGTACCCCATCCTATCAGAACAACACCCATAGAGGAACAGACATATGTTGATACAACACTGTCTCTTCAACTTTCCTCACTCATTCTGACCTGATACATGTATAGATGACCAATGTGAGTGTTAAGCAAGTGTTATATCCTTGGATAGAGACTAACTATGCTAAACCTTCTAAAGATTCCCAGACAGAAAAGGAACCCAGAAGTCCATGCTTGATGTGAGAGCTGACTAGAATTGGATCAAGTGGTTACCTCACACACTGCATCACTGAAACCTTGACCACAGTCAATGACATTTACAGGAAACAGATACAACTGTAATTAAATTATGTTCACATAAAAAATGTTCACTTACCCATTCATCAATTGTATTAACCATTTCATTTCCTCTAGGTATGTTAGATGTTGTAGATATGAAAGTTTCAATGTTTTATAAACTGGCTTGTAACAATTGGCAGATGTGAATTAGAGGAACAAGCACAGCACACAAGATCTCAGATTTGTTGTTGTTGTTTGTTTGTTGCTTAACACCATACTAAGCAATATTCCTGCTATATGACAGCAGTCTCTAAATAATCAAGTCTGGACCAGTGATTGATATCATGAGCATTGATCCACACAATTGGGATTTGATGACATGCATCAACCAAGTCAGCGAGTCTGACCACCCGATCCCGTTAGTCGCCTCTTATGACAAGCATTGTCTCTTACAACAAGCATGGGTTGCTGAAGACCTACTGACCTCAACTCTGTGCTTGCTGAGGATTGGTCGGATGCCCTTTGGAACAGGCATTATTGGTCCTCTGTCTTTGTCCTGATTCGGCAGCTCCATTGGGGGGAGGTCTTGGCCAGTCCTGTCACCAAATGGTGCCAACTGAAAGTAACAACAGCTGCCTGATAACATCCATCCAAACATGCCAACTCAATCTCACCCGTTTTTCATAATTATTTCATTTTTAGCATCTATTTCATTTTATAATGACAATTCATACTTCATTAACTTCGCTGACACAACTGATCTTGGTTTCAAGAAGACAACAGTATCTTTCTGAACGTATTTTGAACAATTACTGTGGTTAGAAAATGGCCATTTCAATGTTCCTTTCTTTCACTTATCAATACTGTTCATACATAACAGATAGTTAAAATATGCAATACTTAAGTCTACAACAGTGATATTGAACAAATAAAAACTGTGATGTTACTACAATTAAGATGTGCTCAGTACTCTATTTATACAAGCAAACTGCCATCTATATAAAAATAGTTTTGCTGAAATGTTCGCACTGACTAGTTCAGTTATGAAAAGTAAGTTTATAAGAAAAGGTTAAATGTGATTAAAATGTTTGTAACATAACAGTCTGACAACAAAACTAACGTGTTGTGTTAACTACAACAATTCATTGCCTGTGCATTGTGAAACCCAGGAAAAGGTTTACAGTTGATGACATGATATGAAAGCCTTTTCGGCATCACAGACATTAATATACTCACCAACTGTTTCATAAATAATCATTACATATATGTTAATTCTCAAACTGAATACCATGTGCCAGAACTTTATCCCTTATGAATAGGTGGGATTAATAAAGTCACATCTAATTTCGTGCTTAGAAAAAAGTATACGATTCACTTCCACTTCTTTCAACAGTGATATCATACAATTCAACTTACTAGTTGAGAAAACAAGTTTACTAGAATGAATTTTGCAACAAAGAAGATTCCAATTTATGTGTAAGATTAATCAAAAATAATTTGCAGGACGTTTAAGATTCTAACCTGGAACATCTAATAATTTGCATGATGTCTGCAACCCTTTCATACAAATGTGTATATTAGTTCTATAAATATGAAATGATGTTATATGTTGATATTGTTTGATGACATATGTAGGCTACTTTCCCACATCAGACAAACTGCTGAAAGAAAGCATGGATGTTATATACAACACACCTTGGAAGGAACAGTTTTGCTGTAGATGTGATATCATGATGCAGATACAAACAAAACAGAAGCTTACAAGCCTGCTGAAATCAAACTGTGGGAGATTGCACATAAAGAAGCCTATTTCAAACAAAGATAACACTGCAGACCTGTCCCTGACACACATTATGTTTCAGAAGGGCACTAAAGTGAGTGATGATTAAGTCCTGAATAAAACTTCCTATGTAGAAATTGACCGAGGGAAGGAAATACAGCCCTCATCCTGGGTATTATGTTCCCCAGGAACCAATACTCCTGGTATATCGATTTCCCCAGAACAAACGTTCAGGGGGGAATCTATTTACTCTCACTTTTACAGATGTTATAGGTAAACATAACTTACAAAGTATACCAGTAATTAAGCTGAGGAAACAACCGCATACTGTATTTTTTAATCAGACAAACAATGAAGCATGGGAATTCATCTTTGAATATATGTTTTACATAAAAATATATTTCATATCTTCACAAAGTTTTTGACATAAAAGGTTTTCAGGGAAAATACCACCTACAAAACACTAATTAAAAATTCATTGGTGTTGAATTCATTGGAGCTGAATGATTCTGAATGAAATAGTCAAATAGAATGAATCTTACACTCAAACGTCATGCTAAATTGCTGAGATTTCATTTGCTATTTTTGTGTGTCTGGCTTGCAATGTTATCTAGTTTGAGTGTTGGACAGTGATCTGCATGTGTGACTATACCCTTACTGTCTTCCTGGCATATAGCGGGGTACGATAGGCACTCCGTAGGTCACGCTCATCAAATGGGTACTAAACAGAGGGAGGGATACACAGACGGGTTAGACATGGACACAACGACACATCATACATCCTACCTTTATACTCTGTAGGTAAGGTGGCCTCTCATACAGCTGGTTTAGATGGCTACTCTATTTATTGCATAGACAAACTCAATGTCAGTGTCTGTTATTTGTGTCTGTACTGCAGTCACTTCATAAACATCTTTACCATAGAAGTAAACTATAGCCAAGTGACAACTGTATGTTATGAAACACATCATGTATGTACTCTTTAGAGAGCAAAACACAAATGAGACTTGGTGTAAAATGTCTTAGCAATGCCTGTTGACTATGTATCCTTATTGTGTGGCACCTAAATAAACAATATGCAAGCTGTGGACAAGTTGCAGAGTTCGCAATATTTACTTGCTTACCAATTTGATATTGCGATTTGTTAATACATATACTTCTAGTGTAAGCAAGGTTCATTGATTGAGCAATTTGTACACATAACTTGTTTTTTCTCTTAAAACGTATGTGTTGCACTGGTAGCATATATCTCTTTACACAATATTATAGGTTTATGTGACCAGACCAACGAGCTTCCAGCAGTGTTGAAACTAAACATATTCCCATATTAGTATATAGATAACAGTTGTCAAATATAGTATTTAAAAATAGATTTACTTTTTTTTTTTATTGTATAAGATCAAAGTAATGTGTTTTCATAAAATACCAAAATCACTAATGTTTTCTTGGTTCTATGAGACACAAGAAATGTTACCCATACAGAAATTCCTGTATTACTGAAACAAAGATGCAGGGTCAGCATATTCTGTGTTAGTCTGTCATACAGACCCTGAAACAAATATGTCCAATATGGCCCATGCAAGTCTATAATGTTTGCAAGTCTAGATTACTGCAGTATCAGGAAAATAAACAGAGTCTCTGGGCTCCTTTTTCATTAATATAATTTTACAACTGTTTTAATCTGTAAACTATGTACATTTGAGAGACTTGATGTGAGTCAGGTTCTCTGGATGACCATTAGCCTACACACAATATTTATCAATGTATGTGAGAGTAAGCGGACACCAGCATGGAGACTCATCAAGCAGTTGTACTGACATAGGAACTATCACAATCATCTACATTACTGCTGGCTAGATGGTGAATAACGTGAGAAAATAAATTCACTTAAGCACACAATTGTAACTAAATTTTGTACACAGATTACTTAGCTCATTTCTGTGGGTGAAGGAAAGTGACATGCTTTTCCTATGAATGGAACACAAACTGGGCTGGATGTGGTTGGAACCTGACTAGCATTTACTGTTCCTGTGTAGCATACTGACATTTAGTGGGAGGTTAGGCTATATACATACACTCGGATTGCCTTTGGCCTTGTGTTTTATCTAAAGGAAAGATTACAAAAATAACATCCTTTATTCAAAAACATTTCTTGTTTAATATAAAGAATGTCATGGGCCATGTTTGCTATGTGACTTGAAGCTGTTGCACTGTGCCTTGGAGCATAGGTACAACTAACCTACTACAGGGGGATGCTGAAATCTCATACCTATAACTTCCCTTCCTACTGAACTTCCATATCTACTTACCTAATTTGAAAAGACTTTGTTAGAAAAGAAGTTCAACAATTACAAGTTAGGTACTGAAGCTCACCTCATTTGCACTAAGCCTGTTAGCATGATAGAAATCAAATAATGAATAACTTTCCACATCATGATAAAGTCCCTAAACAATGTAAGAACCATGCCAAAGGCCAAATAACAATAGTTTTGACAATGTGACCAACCATGTTGTTTCATTTTGATGAATTTTCTACCATCAAGAGATAGGATTTGGTAAAAGATCACAGCATTATGCACATTATTAACATGAATACAACAGTCATCATTGTTAATAATTATAGCATACTAACTCCATTACATCATTGCTATAAATTCTGTATTTGCAACCACACTATAAATTAATCTTCAGATTTTCAACAGAAGTCCGCTTCACTAGCAACTACATTCAACTAGTTGTTCCTGCAATAGCACCAGTAGCCTAACAGCTCTTCTGTGCGGGAAAAAACTCACTTCTTTCAAAAACATCTAGCAAAAACAAAAACATCCTCTACCTCTATTACATCATTGCCAGAAAATACCAGAGGAAACAGGCAGGTTCTGCTTCAAGCAGACTTCCTGCATATAGTTGACAGTAATCCTATAAACCGCCTGTGATTCCATTTCATATTACTGTTTCAAAACCTTGGGAGATAATTACCTTGGAATCACCACTAGAGGACTTGAAATCCAGTAGTTTGAATGAATCAGTCAAATACGTGATACCTTCACTTGTATTATCATTATATTTGCTGATATTCACTAGATGAAGAGTTCTGTTTTAACGCAAAATTTGAATAAGACGTCATTTCCAGTCTTATTTCTCTTCCGAATGTGACATCATCTTACACTCAGTAGCTAGTGATCTATAAAAGGTGTACTCACCTTCTGTTGCTGCTGATGTTGTATCCTCCCATCCACCCCCTACTCCCCATGTTTTTTCCATAGAAGGAGGGAAAACTAAGGTCTAGTGATAGACTGGGCCGCTACAACAGGTACCTGGGAGTATATACCCTGCAGATCTGCCTGGATATCCCACAAGTAAAAACTAGTGAGCAGTGAGGGTATAGTGTGATCCCCATTGGCATCCAGCTACAACCTCTTTAACAGAAACAGAAGCTGAGAATGCCAAGCTTGTCGCCAAAGCTCGAACTTCATGGACAGAGCTTGAACCCATAAGAGGAGGGGCATCCTGTGCTTGATGATGGCTTGTCGCAATGGTCATCTTGAGCCAGTCAGCAACCATGGCCTTTGTTATGTCCTTGTCGGAATGATAAGTTGTTTCTGACGTCAGCAACGAGGATCAGTAGCTGCCAGATAAAATTTGAGAGCATGTGTGGGATGAAAGATGCAAACAGAATGATCAACGGTAGGTGCCAACACGGGAATGGCATAGTGTCTATGACTCAAGGGACAAGTAGCAGTGGATTAGTTCTTAGCCATGTGTCCTGGAGAGAGCGTAATGTAATGGAAGTCCAGTTGGGAGCATGAGTAAGACTCAAATTTTAAAGAGTATGGTGTTCACAAACTCTAGCTGTTGTAGCCATGGCCAATAGGAAGGCAGCTTTGAGAGACTTTTGGAGTAATGTGGCATTGGCGAGAGGTTTGTATGGATCAGCTAAGGGAGCTGACAAGACGACAGGCAAGTTCCATTTCGGGAAGATACAGGGTTTTCGAATATCTTCTCAGAGACAAGATCGCATGAGCATGAGGACAGGATGACTCCCGATTGACAATCTGTCATGTTGTAGGACAGGACGGAGGGCAGATCTGTAACCTTCGATCGTACCATGTCTGAATTTGTTATCCTCTCGAAGATGGAGCAGAAAGTCAGCAACGATGGGGATAGTGATAGTGCCATCGGCCGCAACAGTTCCTCCACTGGACGAACATGTCCCAATGGTTGTCATAAATAAGAGAGGAGGAAGGTCTCCATGATTTTGCCACAGCTGAGGAGGCAGGTTCAGAGAACCCAGAGGCCTGCATCCTTTGCATGATACTTTCCAGGGGGTGAGATGGAGGCTGGGAAGATTGGTGTAGAACAGGTCCAACCAGGGCTGGTGCAGAAGATGTGGAAGTCGAAGGTGAAGAGGCTCAGGAGAGACAAGAGTCTGGGAAACCAGGTCCTGCTTGGCCAGACTGGAGCGATGAGGTTGACTGTGCTATCCGACACCTCCAGCTTCTGAAACACTTTGTCTAGGAGAATGAGTGAGTGAGTGAGTATGGTTTTACGTCGCTTTTAGCAATATTCCAGCAATATCACGGCAGGGGACACCAGAAATGGCTTCACACATTGTACCCATGTCGGGAATCGAACCCGGGTCTTCGGCGTGACAAGCCAACGCTTTAACCACTAGGCTACCCGACCGCCCCGTCTAGGAGAGACCATGGAGGGAATGATTAAGCCAAGAGACCCATCCAATCCCTTAATTGCAATCTGGAGTTTTGACAGGTGGATGATGAAACCAAGATAAGCAGCTGCTGGCACTGTAACCAGAGGAGCTGGGAAGATGTCCAGTATTTCCTCCTGCATGCAAACAGTCAGTGCGTATGGGCATCAGGGTGTCCCCCACAACATCATTGTTGGCGTGTGACAGTGGAGGCAGAGCATGGCGAATCCTGGCAAGAAACCAGTTGAGATATGTGCCCACATCCATGGAGTATCTGTTAACCATTGACAAATCCTTGACATGAGTGGCAGGGATGGTAAGTTTCATATTGGGGTTCTTGACTAATTTGAGCTACTACTCATCGAGCAGTTGCCAATCCAGGAATGGTGAATCATGTGTTTCATTTTACTTCCTCCTCATCTGTGGGAGCATGCTCTGGGGCAGCATGGACGATGATGAGGTACACCCATAAGAGCCAATGGATCTGCATCATCCCCATGTAAATCGTCATCCAATGGTGTCCATGATTCTGGGAAGATCTGTTTACGGATTGTCTGTGATGTGTTGTCAGAGATAACGGGTTCCGGACAGCCTGATTGAAGACATGCGGCATAATCAAAATCTGCATGTGACACCGAGTAGGTGTGGTAACCGTACGGCTGTCAAGACAGTCCCGGGGAACACGTGTGAGAACTGTGCAGTAGTCGGTTTGACCTCATAATGGTAGAAGACTGGTAGTCTGTGTGGTCGACATGGTCTGTGCGGGAGCCCTATGGGACTTTTGATGAACCCATGCTCTTAGGCTGAACCTCAGTTCTCCGTGGGTCAAATGGGATATCCAGATGGTCGTGCGGACTGTGTGGGGACAGGGATGGACAGCTGTCAGGGGAGGGTTAAAGCATGGTTGCCACAACCCAGCTGGTAGTCTGGAGGTCGTGTGACTGAGACGCTGGCAGACGAAGATGGTCTGGGCTCAACTGGAAATATTTCCCCATGCGACATCTTGGCCAGGGAATTCTTCTAAGCCTGTAAGGTCTGAGTCTGCTTTAACTGGTTGACCTCCGATGTTAATGCTGATAGATGGGAGATAAGGAAGACTTCCATGGATGCCTTCTGCTGTGCAAAAAGTTTCTCCAACATGCTGATTGGAAAACCACGAAGCTGAGTTCGGCTGAGGAGTTGTCGGGGTAGAAGGGGTCATTATAGACGCCGTAGTCTCGAGAGTGGATGTGTCAGACAAGGACATGATGGCTTCAACTTTCTTCTAAGCAGCCTCCTTCTGCTTGGCTTCAGTGAAGGAGGCATCTAGCTTCGAGAAAGATGTCTTGGCGAGATGAGTGCAAACTCCTCTGCACTTCCAGCAGAAATTATGTGAGTCCCCAGTGACCATGAAATGTCCACACTTCTGACATGTAGGAGCGGGAAAGACATTGTCATAACAGATGAAAAAATCGAAAACCAACCACAGAAGATCCTCTGTAATCCAGTAATTTGATTATATAAAACATTTTTTACTGATAGGATACAAGTTAAACAGTGTGGCAACATAACCAGGTGCTAGAGTAAGCTAAAACCATAGCACATACAGGAAAGAAGTAAGATTTTTCCTGCCTTTGTGCACAGAAGAGCTGTCCGTATTATTGCACAAACAACTAGCTGTGTGTAGTTGACAGTGAAGAGGACTTCTGTTGAAAATCTGAAGATAAAATTATAGTGTGGTTGCAGACAAAACACAGGATTTATGGCAATGATGTAATAGAGCTAGAGGAATCGCAAGAATGTGTGTTTGGAACTTCCAACAATGTCACAAGGGTCTTGTTGAGTCCCACATATGAATCATACTACACAAGACATTCATAGAGGAGACATGTGATAATGTGACACACAGGTGCCCATAAACTTTTACCAGGTTTTACTCCTATATGTTGAATATGACAAAACAGTGAGAAAACAGTTTTGCTATAAATTCTTGTAGTAGCATGATGATAGCACCATCGATATATAACAATAAACACAATAGGACAGATATCTCAATGAAGTCCTTAGAACAAACACACATGTCATTCAGGAAAATTAATTCTACTATGCAACACTGGACTATATCTTTCTGTTTAACAAGATGGAATGCTTCGATGCAGTGACTATGTGAGGTTATGCATCATCTGTAACTACCAGAGGGAGGTGTTATGGTAGGAACACAACATGCAGGCATGAGGTTATCACATGGTTCAGGTCCTGTACACACAATCCTACCTGCTGCAGTCTCACACTTGCATAGGACTTGAAACATGTGACAATTGTGAATGGGTAAAATAACATGTATTTCTTATGTACTGTTTTTATATGAAATGTATCACTGAATGGTAAAGATTCTCCTAAATTTCCGCATGTTGTTTTAACAGATGATGTTTTAACAGATGATATTTTACCCAATACAGGAACACAGGGGATGCCACCAGACAATACTGTTCTAAACGGAGACTACCCACCAAAAGCAGCTGCCTAGTCTACTGCATGTGAAGGTAGCAGGGATGCTACTCTAGACAATGCAGGCAACTACACAAGGCCGGTTGTTGACTTGCTAACACCTATCTTATGCAAATAACCTATTAATGCAAACTATTGGTTACATTTTGTTTTCACAAATTGATATATAATATAATACGAATGTGTTATTAATGACATATTAAACACGCTTTTGATGAAAAAAACATTAAAATATTTGCTTTATATTCCTCTTAACTATAACATTGAGAATTAAGTGAAAGTACTGAATAATAAAATTCAGTTCAGGTAATACAACTTGATAACTGTCTATTATGGTAGGAAACAATAACATGTAGATTCTTCTACAAGAAGCAGCTAGTCTTCACTGTAATGATGACCACCACCACGGCTACTACTGCAGGTCAGCTACCAGCACCATGCTTGACACACATTGTTATTATTACCTGTAGGAGTTCAAACGCTGACAGCAGCTCTCCTGCCTCGTCCGGACCACGCCTCACATCCCACCACTCCAGGCGAGGGGGGAACTTGGGCCCGTCATACTTCTCATTGCTCAGTTTCACCACAGGTTTACAAAGGGCTCTGCCAATGAACTCAGATTTTCCCTGAAAACGTAGAATTTCATGGTTTTAGAAAAAACATGTTTATGTTTTGTCAAGTAGAATTGCAACAAGTGCATTCTTAATTCCTGAAAACAATAAAATTGATAAAAATATGGTATATTGAATTTATGGAGATCCTAGAGAATAGCTACATTTGTAGACACATATTTATCAAAGCCATTCAAGCTACAAGAAAGAAGTGAGAAAGTCATTTAACCTACTGTAGCTGTAAACAGAGTGAACAAAGTGACTACAGTCATGTTCCCTTTTAGATTTAAGTATTACCCACTTTCCTTGAGATATTTGATAATCATCTTTCTTAAACTGACCTTAAAAAGGACCTACTTACCTCTCAGTATCTGGTAGTTCCAGAGATAATGTTTAGCTAATACTGTAATACATGGGTATTCAATTGTGATGTAGTTCTCATCGCCTGCTACTGACAACATAGAGTACCACAGGGAAAGCATGTCATACACAACAGCTTACAGTGTTGAGTTTAGCCAACGTAGTCTTACAATGACAATGTACACACAAGGCTCAGATATTCCCATTGGTCCACATGCAAAAGAGTTGAGTGTGACAGCAGCAGGACAAAACATTCTGTGAACATCTCATCGTTCAGTTTACCCAGGAAACTCAGACAATACTTTACCACAACATTTTTATTTTCATATGTTTTACTTCCCATGGACATTTAACAAAGTGTATGTGTACAACGTCGATTTATAGACACTTAAAACACTGAAACATTTATTGAATATTTAGAGCCTCAAAGCTTTGTAGGTGTCTTTATTGTAACTCAGTTACCATGTCAACACATGTAACATTCAGAAAAATGGGTTTTTGACTTATTTCATCGTGTATTGCAGTACTAAAAGGTGAAATATTAAACCTGTCTTGATATCCCTACATTCAATATTATAGTTGCACAGAACTACCATATTTTGTGAAGTGGCTGCTACAATTGCAATATGGTTTTGTGACTGTTAGTGTGTTATTTGTGAACAACAGTGTTACATTGACGATATCCTGACATCCTCCAACCTGGTTTACGTGAACTGTGGCTCTACATGGCCTACTGTGTGACTCGCCATTTTCTCGCCAATACTCTAGAGGAGTTTCTTTCAAAACTGTTTTACTTCCTTGATTTTTCTGGAATTTGGCAAATATCCACTGTACATATCATTTTAAATTTCTGCTTGTGTCAGACTCTACACATGTATCATGTATCATAACATTTAGAATAATCATATAATACATTAAAATTTTAAAGGCTGAAAAGCACAAATCTGCATGAATCTCCTCTGCAAAACTGAAGGATATGGATCTCCTAAAACTTCAAATAATATCCTCACACTCTTGAGGGATGCTTGGTATGTTCTTGATGCCTCCTTTCGAACAATTATGTGAGGACGTTCTTACATGTCAAGTGAATGTTGTTTGGTTGTTGTTTTATGCTGCACTCAGCAATATTTCAGCTACGTGACAGTGGTCTGTAAATAATTGTGTCTGGCACCAGACAACCAGGCAATTGGGATACGATGATACGATACGATGGGATACATGCATCAACCAAGTCAGCAAGCCTGACCATCCGATTCAAATAGTCGCCTCTTACGACAAGCATGGTCGCTGAAGACCTACTCTAACCCGGATCTTCACGCGTGTGAGTGAGTATAATCAATGGCTGCCAGTGTGGGTAAAGTGCACAGTAGCACCCTTGATGCTTATGAGACTAGATCATATCAGTGATCTGCATCAGATCTGAAATCCAACTCCAATCAGTAGAATGAACACAGCGATGAGGTAGCAACGAAGAATACATGTGTCTTGTCATATCACTGTGTACTAAAAGACATAACCTAGAATATATCTCCCTGTGCCCATCAAACACTACCTAAACGTAATATCCCTATGTCCCCCCCACAGACACAATCTAAAAGTGCCCCCCACAAATGATACCAAGAAAACATCTACCTGTGCCTCTCACAGAAGTGACCTAGAAAACATCTACCTGTGCCCCCCACAGACGATACCTAGAAGACATCTACCTGTGCCCCCCACAGACGATACCTAGAAAACATCTACCTGTGCCCCCCACAGACGATACCAAGAAAACATCTACCTGTGCCTCTCACAGAAGATACCTAGAAAACATCTACCTGTGCCCCCCACAGACGATACCTAGAAGACATCTACCTGTGTCCCCTACAGACGATACCTAGAAGACATATACCTGTGCCCACCACAGACGATACCTAGAAAACATATACCTGTGCCTCTCATAGAAGATACCTAGAAAGCATATACCTGTGCCCACCACAGACGATACCTAGAAAACATCTACCTGTGCCTCTCACAGAAGATACCTAGAAAACATATATCTGTGCCGACCACAGACGATACCTAGAAAACATCTACCTGTGCCCCTCACAGACGATACCTAGAAAACATATACCTGTGCCCACCACAGACGATACCTAGAAAACATCTACCTGTGCCTCTCACAGAAGATACCTAGAAAACATATACCTGTGCCCACCACAGACGATACCTAGAAGACATCTACCTGTGCCCCCCACAGATGATACCTAGAAAACATATACCTGTGCCCCCCACAGACGATACCTAGAAAACATCTACCTGTGCCCCCCACAGACGATACCTAGAAAACATCTACCTGTGCCCCCCACAGACGATACCAAGAAAACATCTACCTGTGCCCCCCACAGACGATACCTAGAAAACATCTACCTGTGCCCCCCACAGACGATACCTAGAAAACATCTACCTGTGCCCCCCACAGACGATACCAAGAAAACATCTACCTGTGCCCCCAAAAGACGATACCTAGAAAACATCTACCTGTGCCCCCCACAGACGATACCAAGAAAACATCTACCTGTGCCCCCGACAGACGATACCAAGAAAACATCTACCTGTGCCCCCCACAGACGATGCCTAGAAAACATCTACCTGTGCCCCCCACAGACGATACCTAGAAAACATCTACCTGTGCCCCCCACAGACGATACCAAGGAGACATCTACCTGTGCCTCTCACAGAAGATACCTAGAAAACATCTACCTGTGCCCCCCACAGACGATACCTAGAAAACATCTACCTGTGCCCCCCACAGACGATACCTAGAAAACATCTACCAGTGCCCCCCAGACGATACCTAGAAAACATCTACCAGTGCCCCTCACAGACGATACCTAGAAAACATCTACCTGTGCCCCCCACAGACGATACCTAGAAAACATCTACCTGTGCCCCCCACAGACAATACCTAGAAAACATCTACAAGTGCCCCCCACAGACGATACCTAGAAAACATCTACCTGTGCCCCCCACAGACGATACCAAGAAAACATCTACCTGTGCCCCCCACAGACGATACCAAGAAAACATCTACCTGTGCCCCCCAACAGACGATACCTAGAAAACATCTACCTGTGCCCCCCACAGACGATACCAAGAAAACATCTACCAGTGCCCCCCACAGACGATACCTAGAAAACATCTACCAGTGCCCCCCAGACGATACCTAGAAAACATCTACCTGTGCCCCCCACAGACGATACCTAGAAAACATCTACCTGTGCCCCCCACAGACGATACCAAGAAAACATCTACCTGTGCCCCCCACAGACGATACCTAGAAAACATCTACCTGTGCCCCCCACAGACGATACCTAGAAAACATCTACCTGTGCCCCCCACAGACGATACCTAGAAAACATCTACCTGTGCCCCCCACAGATGATACCAAGAAAACATCTACCTGTGCCCCCCACAGACGATACCTAGAAAACATCTACCTGTGCCCCCCACAGACGATACCAAGAAAACATCTACCAGTGCCCACCACAGACGATACCTAGAAAACATCTACCAGTGCCCCTCACAGACGATACCTAGAAAACATCTACCAGTGTCCTCCAGACGATACCTAGAAAACATCTACCTGTGCCCCCCACAGACGATACCTAGAAAACATCTACCAGTGCCCCCCACAGACCATACCTAGAAAACATCTACCTGTGCCCCTCACAGACGATACCTAGAAAACATCTACCAGTGCCCCCCAGACGATACCAAGAAAACATATACCTGTGCCCCCCACAGACGATACCAAGAAAACATATACCTGTGCCCCCCACAGACGATACCAAGAAAACATCTACCTGTGCCCCCCACAGACGATACCTAGAAAACATCTACCTGTGTCCCCCACAGACGATACCAAGAAAACATATACCTGTGCCCCCCACAGACCATACCTAGAAGACATCTACCTGTGTCCCCCACAGACAATACCAAGAAAACATCTACCTGTGCCCCCAAAAGACGGTACCAAGAAAACCTCTACCTGTGCCCCCCACAGACGATACCAAGAAAACATCTACCTGTGCCCCCCCCCCCCCCCAGACGATACCAAGAAAACATCTACCAGTGCCCCCCAGACGATACCTAGAAAACATCTACCTGTGCCCCCTACAGACGATACCTAGAAAACATATACCTGTGCCCCCCACAGACGATACCAAGAAAACATCTACCTGTGCCCCCCACAGACCATACCTAGAAGACATCTACCTGTGTCCCCCACAGACGATACCAAGGAGACATCTACCTGTGCTCCCCACAGACGATACCTAGAAGACATCTACCTGTGTCCCCCACAGACGATACCAAGGATACATCTACCTGTGCCTCTCACAGAAGATACCTAGAAAACATCTACCTGTGCCTACCACAGATGATACCAAGGAGACATCTACCTGTGTCCCCATACAGACACTACCTAGAAAACATCTACCTGTGCCTACCACAGACGATACCAAGGAGACATCTACCTGTGCCTACCACAGACGATACCAAGGAGACATCTACCTGTGCCTACCACAGACAATACCAAGGAGACATCTACCTGTGCCTACCACAGACGATACCTAGAAGACATCTACCTGTGCCCCCCCACAGATGATACCAAGGAGACATCTACCTGTGCCTACCACAGATGATACCAAGGAGACATCTACCTGTGCCTACCACAGACAATACCTAGAAGACATCTACCTGTGCCCCCCCACAGATGATACCAAGGAGACATCTACCTGTCTACAGACACTACCTAAAAAACATCTACCTGTGCCTACCACAGATGATACCAAGGAGACATCTACCTGTGCCTACCACAGACAATACCAAGGAGACATCTCCCTGTGCCTACCACAGACGATACCAAGGAGACATCTCCCTGTGCCTACCACACACAATACCAAGGAGACATCTCCCTGTGCCTACCACAGATGATACCTAGAAGACATCTACCTGTGCCCCCCACAGAGGATACCAAGGAGACATCTCCCTGTGCCTACCACAGACGATACGAAGGAGACATCTACCTGTGCCTACCACAGACGATACCAAGGAGACATCTCCCTGTGCCTACCACAGACGATACCAAGGAGACATCTACCTGTGCCCCCACAGACGATACCAAGGAGACATCTCCCTGTGCCTCTCACAGACGATACCAAGGAGACATCTCCCTGTGCCTACCACAGACGATACCAAGGAGACATCTACCTGTGCCTACCACAGACGATACCAAGGAGACATCTACCTGTGTCCCCATACAGACACTACCTAGAAAACATCTACCTGTGCCTACCACAGACGATACCAAGGAGACATCTACCTGTGCCTACCACAGACGATACCAAGGAGACATCTCCCTGTTCCTACCACAGACGGTACCTAGAAAACATCTACCTGTGCCTACCACAGACGATACCAAGGAGACATCTCCCTGTTCCTACCACAGACGATACCAAGGAGACATCTCCTGTTACTACCACAGACGATACCAAGGAGACATCTCCCTGTGCCTACCACAGACGATACCAAGGAGACATATCCCTGTGCCTACCACAGACGATACCAAGGAGACATCTACCTATGTACCCATACAGACACTACCTAGAAGACATTTCCATGTGTCCCCCACTCTCAGCTATCATTCCCGGCAGTGTTCTGCCCCTGCTTACCACTTTGTCTTGATCAAATATTTCCACAACGATGGTTGGTGGGTCATCCACAATCTCCTCCATAAGCCCATACACCTCCACCTCCTTGATGATGAGCATTTCGTCCCAAGTGGGACTCAGGGTCTCCTCAATCACCTGAGTGCATGCACTCTGGTCAGCAAAAGCAATACGTGCAAATGGATCAGACAACCCAGAAGCATCTGAACCAATCAGCTGTCTTGCCTGGTACATGTGACAGCGCAGTTGGAACACCTGCTTTTCTGCAATGGCAAAATATTCAAAACAGTTTGCTATGGCAAAGGGCAGTTTCTAACATTGACATTAAATGAAAGTAGTCTTTGGGATAAGCTGAATGAAATTGAGTATGCATGTGTTTTGGAGATGATTTCTTTCGTATCCTTTGAACCATTTAATTGTGGGTACTTTCAACATGTTTCTTAAAAGTGTGTTACCTTTGTAGTGCACAAAAGGTGGTGGGTATCCCTGAGGTTTGCAGGACAGCTTGAGAGGCTTGGTCTCCTCGTAGCCTCCTGGAAGGCCCTTCAGATAGTCCTTCTTGTGTTTGGTCAGCCCAAGCCACAGGTACAGCTGTAGCTTGGCCTGGATGTTCCAGCCGGCCTGGCCCTCTGCCTTCTTCCCTGGCAGCTGTATACATGAACACAATCACTTGTGGTACTTTCTGCACATAATGAGCATCAAGCAATAAGGTTTTCATCATGAGGAATGTGTGTGACCACAACACAACAGCAGTTCCTCAGCCAGTTAATGTTATACTATAACTCTCCATAAATATTTGCAGAAAATGTATTGAGACATACTCAGCGTATAGAAGAAGTAAACTGACCCTGAGAAGCATTGTCTGGACCTTGCCACAGAATTTGCCCCTCTCCTCATCCACAATGGAGTAGATGATGTCCCGAGATTTCACCCGCTGGTATGCAACACGCTTCTGTCCAGCGATCATCCACACAAACATGTCGGGCACTGCATGCTGGGGCTGCAGGACAAACAGACAATGAATGTTAGCAAGGCAGTAAAAGTGCTATCTCTTCTTATACTATGTTACAAAGAGGGGTAAACACCATCTACTTCAAGGGAATACATACCTCATTCATGAGATTACGCAGTTTGGAGAGGTACTGGTTTGCACTGCGCATCTTTTCCCTCATATTGGTCTTGGTTACAGTGGCCTTCATTGTTCTGGCCAGAGTGGACTGTTGATCCTGCAATCAACAAAGATATTGTCCGTGTGTGTACCCGAATCATTTATCACTCTCAATACAAGATATACTAAATCATGCTTTAAAATAGCAATGTGGCAAAACTTGAAGCAACTTAGGGACAAGTGATAAAAGACTGGGAAGTGACAGTTCAAGTTTGATGGTTTTCAGTACTAATGTCAAAACAACAGGGAGATAACAATATGGGGGCAATTTCAACTTGATCAAGAAGCCTAAGTATGTATTTATTAGTGGTGTAACAATATGGAGATACAGTATTGAATCACGATACGAGGCCCACAATACAATACATCGATTTACAAACCCTGTATTGCGATACATTCGATACATTTCATTGCAAGCTATATTGGTGTAATAATAACCTCCAGCACATGCTGCTTTTCTAGTATTTCATGGTTGGACATAAATGACATAACATTCAGAGTGCCCTCTACCAATATGTTTCTGCCCTACAATATCCCATCTTTGATCTCAGAAATTTAATAACAAATGATTCAGGGTTGTCATTCACCTGCAAAATGTAAGAATATCTATATTTCAAGTAAAGGTATCGGGACACGAATCATATCGCACCCATATTATCAGGATATGTATCGTGCACGACCCCATGAATCATTACACCTCTACTATACATAGACCCAATATCTTTCCAAAATCTGCCAACTTCTTACCATGACAGACATGATTGTATAAACTTGTATGCGAGTAACCTTCAGCAAATATTAATCATTTTGAATATATAACCATTCAATCAACGTGTTATTTTCACGTTGACCATATATCTGCAAAAAAGGTTTTAGCCTATAAGACAAAGCTCCTGCCATACCATCTCTCTGACTAAGAGCTTGTGCCTCTCCTTGTCCAGCTTAGTCTTGGCTGCCGACCCCCCTGCTGTGCCCTTCACCAGAGACACAAACTTGGAGCACCCCTGTCCCAGCTCCTCAAACACACCCCTCAGGCGCCGCTCAGGGAAGGGTGTCTCCGACTTGATCATGTCCTGCACCTCGGTGATGCCAGCTTCCTGTAGAAGGTCATATACCTCAGTGAGCAGGCCACAGAGAAACAAGTGGGACACACTTTATACTCAATGTTAAACACAATTGGAATATCAATAACATATTTATAGTAAACTTTTGATGTTATCTTGAAGGGATATCACCTTCATAGTGTTAATTAGAAAAAGTCCATAGACCTGGAGTACATTTTCACTTCACTTAACACTGAATATACACTCATATATTCAAGCAGACTACACTTACCGTATATGACCGCGTATAAGCCGACCCCATAGATAAGCCGAGGTGTTAACTTGACCATTGAAATACGAAAGAAAATGATATGACCCGCAGATAAGCCGAACCAGGAATTGAAAGGCAAAAAACACTGCGAAGTCGGACTGCAAGACATGTGCCGGTACTCGCAGATATTCAAAATTATAAGATGAATAACGTTGTAATTATATTGAAAAAGTCATTATTATTTCTAATAAAGATTTAACAAACCAGTCATCAACTTTCATAATGTGGGAAGCTGTTTCTCGTGGGTTTTTTAAATCTCATAATGATCGTTATATGTTGCCATCAACAACAAGGCGCCATTTTGTAAATCGGTGTATATAGAATTATGAACCCATGAGAAAATATATCAGCTAGAGCGAAGACTCGCAGTTTGAATTCAGCATCGTAAGCATGGCGTTTTCGATTCAAACTCATATTGAGAATGTCAGTCAGTAATTACTTACTTACTTATATTGGAGATTTTACGTGGGCTTTCCGACTGCAGCGTATTTCACACACGGGCCCGGCCAAGCCATTTAATGTGTTTCCGAAAAGGGGAAAAAGTTGTTTGGGAATCCAGTAGGGGTGTTTTAGTGGTTGCTTATATAGAACTTTGGAAATTTTGAAATTTTGAAAAAATGCCAAGAGGGTTTGGGGGACGAACTAAGGGACCTGAGTATGGAAGTTTGTTAGTTTGATTATGTGGTCTGGTTTTGGTAGTTTATTGGGGTTTTAAATGCGATTTATTAGTCCTGTTTCGATTAAGAATACGCCTAAGGCTTTGAATTTTTCTATTTTATTTTGTGGGTTTAGGATAACTTCTAGAGTAAGAGCCTTATTTAGATTTAGGGTGGTTTGTAGTGTAGTTCGGTGTGTTAGGTAGTGGGTGCAGTGTATGAGTGCGTGTTCTGGGGTTTCTTGTTGTTTGCAATGTGGGCAGGTTCCTGTTGCGTGTTTTCTTATTATTTTGAGGTGGTTATTTAGGTTGGTATGTCCTGTTTGGAGTTTAGTAATTACTCTGTCGATTTTTTTGGACGGATGTAGAATTTTTGGTTTGGTTAGGGGTTTTTTGAGAACCTTTTTGATTTGGCTATTTGAGTTTTGATATAGGTTATGCCATTTTTTGGTGATTATTTGTTTGTTAACACTTTTAATTTCTGATTTGGAGATGGGTAGGTTTAAGCTTATTTCTGGGATTTTAAGGGATAGTTTAGCTGCTTTATCGGCGTTTTCATTGCCGTATTTTCCTACGTGGTCGGGGTAGTTGTGGCTATTAATGTACATAACCTTTGGATAGATAGACTTTGGGAATATAGTATTTATTTCAAATATCAAATATTAGGTGAGTAAAATATGATATCACCCACATGAAAGTGAGTGAGTGAGTGAGTATGGTTTTACGCCGCTTTTAGCAATATTCCAGCAATATCACGGCGGGGGACACCAGAAATGGGCTTCACACCCCCATGAAAGAACCTGACAGATTGCCTGACCTACCAGTTTCTCAACAACTTTCTCTATGATGTTGCAGTTGTACATCCTCCTGCGGTGGTCTTCAAACAGCTCCTTGATGTACACACATGGCTTGTCCTCGTAGTAGGGAAGGTGGTAGTAGCACTTGTCCCGGGTCACTGGCTTGGTCCCTGGGGTCATACTCTGCCACTTGGGGATCTCCATGCGAGAACCAGATTCATCTTCAGAATCACTGTCTTGCACAGGTTCATCACTGTCACTGCTGCTACGACTGTTGCGACTGGGTGGGTTGTAACCATCCAAGACATTGCCTGCATTACCTGAGGGAAAGGAAATTATTTCATATTTCAATGAATTTGTGTTACAAAATATTATAGTCCCTATAGCTTACCCAATAAGAATATAACAATAACAAAAACTCTTCTATGTAGAGGCCACAAGTGACTGTTGATTGTGCTTGATGCATGCAGTATCTTTGATTTGACCTAAATATCATCCTCGATCATTATGACAATAAAGTCACATAGTGGCCTTGGTGGATGTGAAGATTTTTAAAGTATAATATTTCTTTGGCTTTGGTATTTAGGTAATGAATACAGATTAAGACAGTTACTTAAGTGAGACAAGGAAAGAGCTCTGATCCACAGATAGATGACCATTTCAAGTGATGGTTCAGATGCTATGAGTTCCATGAATGAAATTGAGACATTGCTTCAATGAATTTCATCAGTTTCAGCCAGGTTCAACTGATACTACAAACTTAACTCAGTAAAATGTTTGTTTAAATGCCCAATTACACTGAAATTAAAATGTTGCAGCAATCTGCAATAGTTTATGACAAAAACCTATTTCTACACTTACCAACACTGATTTCAAAGTGCACAGGTTTGTCCCCCACTTTCTTCTCTATCATAGATGCTTCAAGGAAGCAGCCATACAGGAAGTACTCCTCTGGTCTACCTGCTGCATTCTGGGATAAACAAGTGTCATAACATTTTAAAATTTGAACATTTTGAAGAAGAAAAATACTAATTAGTTTTAATTCTTTATTTTCATATTTCATACAATTTATCTCATTCTGTTTTTAATGAATTACATGTGATGCACAGATGGGAGCCCCAGTCAGAAGCTGACAGATTTTACCTCAGAGATTGGTAGGGCATTTTCTACATCCACCGTTGCAGGTCCACTCTCCATGCTCTCCAGGATCTCCATCTTTATTGCTATGAGTAATCTGCCCCTGAATGACACACCCTGACCTAATCCATCGTTGAGGTGAGTCTGTGATGTCAGGAGCTGGTAGTAGCGGGTGGCACCATACAGGTTCACCCAGCAAGGTCCAAAGGTTGGCAGAAAACCTAGCAGGCAGACACAACATCAGCTCATACTATAACTGTCAACATTGTCCAACAAAGGCATACTTGGAACTAATCCTGCCATAACACAAATAACATTCAGACATGACACTAACATCAAACTTACTGAAATATGCCTTGCAATCAAGACAGGAGGTCAGATAGGAAAATGGGACATTAAAATTGGTGTAAAAATACATCAAGTGTGCCCTCTTACATGCACACTTTATAAACATGAAAATAAACCTTCTTCATCCTGTGTTTTCAGAGGACCACTATCAGGCCCTCTTATCTACTTGAATGAAAAGAAGCATTATTGAAATGCGATATAAATGCAGTAACAATCGTCATAACAGCGGTTCTCATTGGAATCACCGCACAGCCGCTATTAGAACCGACAGCATCGGCAATCGAACACATTCAGTTATGTCCGTTAAAATCTGCATTTTGCCAAACTATAAAACAGTTACTGTTGCCACAGCACACTAAACATGGCTGTCAGTGGGGAAGAAGAGAAATGGGGAACGCTTGTCAACGCCTGTTTCCAGAGAATGTTATTTTTGTTAAGATTTTAATGCGTATTGAACGTAAATTATGATTCTCCTTCAATACAGATTATTCATTTTCAGCAAAAATGTATTTTGTATGCATTATCAATGTATTTTGATGGGAGTCAAATTGAAAGGATATCAGCCATAGAACCAGATAAATTACTTCACTCATAATTTCATTCACTGTTAACATCTTTGAGCTAGTAGTATGTGCTCAATAATTGTTAATATAACTCGGCTAATAAATAATTTTGTCAGTCAATATCTACAGTAAAGAAATTATCTGTACCTGATTGGCACTTAAACAATAATAATAATTAATATGTATTTTATTAACATATACCATTCCCAGATCCTGATGTGTTGACTACAACACACAGGTGCCAAGATTGCTGGGATCTGGTGTGCAGATGGGTGAGATATCAGACATCTTCAGATCGGACTACTGCCCATTGTTTTGCAACAACTGATACAAGAAAACACGTCTCCCACAAAGTTCAATGCATATGAATACTGCGTGCTCAATTCCATGGATTTTATGCTTTATTGTCAAGACTTCGAATCAGATTAACCGAAAGAAATTACTTCGCTTGTTGCACATTTATTTTTTCGCCTTCATTTCTTGCACACTGAAAAGGTGTTGTCAATTAACTACGATGGATACAGCGAGGGTAATTCCGCTGCATTTGGTCGAGTTTCCCATAGCGGCTGTGCATGTATTCTGCTAACAACCACTGTCAAATCTGATAGTGTTTCTTTTCATTCAAAATAAGAAATGCATTCACTTCCAATCTGGAAGCTAAGCTACCAATACACATTCATTTTAAACCCATTCAACGCTATTTATTCAAATAGGAAGGGGGGCGTGAGTATGAAAATGATCCTTTGATTCTTGTTTGCATTCGATACCTTTCTCTCCTTCATTCGATATGTGTGACAGATCAATGAAGTGAGTGCCAATGATATCATCATTGACGCTGTCACTGTCTCGCAGTTGTATTCTGATGCGTCTACACAAGGGAGGGAACATCTCGGTGAACACAACCTGCTCATTCCAAACAGGTTCATAGGATCCTTTCTTGAGTGATGTTCGACCCTTGAAAATAAAGTTAAGTGTATGATGGTTACTTGAACTATTGATTCCATGTCAACCCAGTAGCTAGATATAATGTAGTGTTACCACATAATCATTGGACATCAGCTACAGGTAGCCTATACACCATCATAGATCAAGAACCATCTAGCAACTGATCTATCCTCAGCCAACCACCCAACTTGTACCCTATATGGAGTCAAATAGTTTACGTAGGTAACTTGACATTGTCTAAACTTGTGCATTTTATTAGTGTTAATTAAAGGCTGTTGGTTTGTGCAACCATCTCACCCAACAAAATACTGAAGCTGTAGGATAGCTTATATACCACATTCTCATACCTCAATGTCAGAATGATGAGATATGATTGGTCCACATGATCTTGAAAAAATACTGTGTATCCCGCCTTGGAGGGGAATAAATTTCTCAGTGGGGGAATAACCTCTTATACCCAAGTCAAGTTGCACATGGATTTCTGAGAGGCAGAATAAATCCACTATAACCCGCTTCAAAGCAAAAAGCCGCACGCTTTTTCCAAATCAATGGAAGTCACGTGACAAAGCGCAAGTTAACCTCTGCTCAATCGAACAGCTGTTTTCTATCAATTTTGAATTTGTTCGAATTATTTTACAATTTCATATTAAAACATGATGGTAAGTCAAATTTGTTGTAGCAGGATTAATTGGAGAATATGAGGTTTATGCGTCCCTCGTTAGGTTATATACCAATCGCCTCCGGCTCGTGGTATAAAACCTAACATGGAGTGCATAAAACCCCATGTACCCCTTCTGATCCTGCTACAACTATAATGTTAACAGGACCTTTTGAACTAACATATTTCAATCCCATGGATTCATCTTCTCATATTATGATAATTTCTTCAGGCCTACCAATCCTTGGAAATGGACCAAATCAATAGTCATAATATGAACATGGGACTTATATTGGAAGCTGGTTATTGCACTAGTTAGTCTCCCTGTTTGAAAATAGGGACCTTGTCATCCATCAAATATGAGACGTCACTGCATCTCTTCTCACCTTGTGGCCAGCGAAGGAGACCTCAACATAGGGATCCACAAGGTCCTTGCTCTCTCCGGTGAAGGCTTTCTTGACATTTGCCATGATGCCAGTGTTCATCTTGGGCAAACCCTCTGCTCTGTACACCTTCACAAAGAACTTGGCTCGTTGTCGGTCAGCGGGAACACCATCCGGCAGCAACAGATTCCTGCACAATGGTTACAAGTGGGGGAATGTTGCATTAGGACATCATGTGTCACATATTTCAATATGATGTCATGTAGAATACATGGCTGAGTAGCACACACTCTACATGGCAGTAATGCCAAAACCTTAATGATTCACCTAACACGATAATGACCCTTATACTGTGGAAGGTCTGCAGTTAGTTTGGGGCCCATGCAAGGATTGATCATTTTAAAAATATAAATAATGAATAGTAAAGAAACTTTAACAGTAAATACTACTTGACATTGTTAAAGAACCTGTAGTGCAATGTTCCATCATAACTTACGCTTCAATGTCATCTTCATCTTTGTCAGATTTTGGGGGAACCTGTAACAACATGGTAGGTAGTCAAATTCCAATATGGATTTCCAGGCCCTCAGCAAAATGCATTAAATGTCTGGTCATATTTTATTTTTTTTAGATTGATAATTTGAAAAATATTTTCTTAAGTGTGTAAGCAATGAACATTACAATAACTGTCTTCTGTGGTCGAGACAACTGAACTTATTACCATGCATGGAGAAATTATGACCAACATATGTTTAAAATAGGTAGATGTAAAAAATTAAATACAACATTTGGATATACAATTATAACCTTTTGACATGAAAAAAGATGTGAAACTTAATTTCCAAAATGTATTTTATCAATTCTCAGTACATAGTACTCTGTACCCATTCACATGTATAATTTGATGATACATTGTATTTGCATCTTTGACGGATACATGCACAACTGATTCTAAGGGGTTTCTTTTCGGCAGGGTTCTAGATGGTGCTCTCTATGAAGCAACAACACCTGGCTTGTTGTAATTAGTCACACATGCATACTTATCTTGTCTTGAATTCATCATGCAAATTTTAAATCAGTTAAATACAAAGTTAGGAATATGTTACATTAAGAGCTTTATATTAACATGAATCATCATCTGAAATCTGACATTTGATCTAGTATCATTGAGAAGCCAAATGAAAGTCACTAAAATCTAGTCTAATACGTGTTAGGCTGTGCACAGCAGCTGTTGTCTTTCCCTTTATCAGCAGCTTCATAACACAAACGTGTGAAGGTAGAGAAGTGCCGATCAAACCTATCAGCCAGTTTAGTTCAAAAACATAGTTTGCTATTTTCTCATAGCTTGAACTAACGCCAACTGATAAATGGGAAAGACATATTCTTTACTGAAAGTTAGTGTTTGATTTAGCATTATTACTCATGAACAACTAAACACTGTTAGTCTATGCTATGTGATAACTTACGCAGCTTCGCCTTATCTGTTTGGGGTAAAAGTTGCAGTATTTACAGTTTGGACCCACAAGACCAGTGCGAGTACAAAGGTATGGATCACATTGGACCTAATCACATGTTTCATAAAGATCATAACATTTTGATTGAAATTAAAATCATTACATTTACTATTCATAAGTGGAAGGGGCTGTGATGCACATGAAGCACTCATAAAATATCAACTTTACGCAAGGACAATGCATTCCAGGTCTGTGTCAGATATGTTCACTGGAAGTGGATGGAGTTTTCCTTTGTTTGGAAAAGGTAACAATTTTATATTTGTGAACTGTCTCTGAAGCAATGGTCTTGAAAATATGTAGCATCTATAAAGGCATACATTTTCATGATCATCTAAAGCAAGCATGCTTCCACTATAAGTGCCCCTTTGTATTATAGTCAGTATGGAGCTATAGTGACCGGAGGAGCGGTGGGCTAGCCTAGTGGTTCACTGGTTACACCGCAGACCTGGGTTTGATTCCCCACATGGGTACAATGCCTGAAGCCCATTTCTGGTGTCCCCCACAGTGCTATTCCTGGAATATTGCTAAAAGTGATACTGTATTCACTCACTATAGTTGAAGGTTTACAATCTTCCGTGGATCGTAATGTGCACACATAAGGTGAAATAAGATGTCAAGTCAGAAGAGGCATATGAGAAAATACAAAGTGATAAGTGACTGGTCAGCTTCAAGGACCATCAAATGATGGATACAACACCTAGACTATAGAACACACACCGGTCAATAATCAACACTATACCTTCACGGAGTCCCCTTTGCCAATGACAGCAATGTCACACTTCAGGTAACCCTTCACTCCACCATTAATGTCATCCGGATCTGTCAGCATGGCCCACTTGTGGTAAAACTGGTGGTCTAAAAGGAGGAATAACATCACCAGACATGTAGGAAACAAACAGTTAGAACATTAATTTATGTTTCAATATTGTGAATCTTAGACGATATCAATACTTTATTAATGTCATTACTGAATGAAATTAGCATCTACAAACATGAACCTACATGAATCAATACTGGTTGACTTCCTTGGTTTGTCAATTCCTAAAGCAACAAGGTCTACCTTCATAGTCTGTCTCATATGACAAATCATAAGAGGCATATTTGCAATTTTTAAAAATCATAGTTGATATATGAGTATAGGGAATCTGAATACATGTACAACTGTTAGTGTTTCATGTGTGTTAGTGTGTGTTTTAATAGCCAGTCAAATGTGTACTTCTCTTGTTAAAATCAACTTCCTATTTTGGAATGTAACAAAAAGAAGACTGTAATGACAGACAGACAGCCCCTACACAAAAATATGAACATCATTTTTCAAATTTGATATTTCAAAATATATCTCTGTAAATTTGCTTTCTTAAATTTTGTCACATATCAATGTAATATGTTCAAGAAGCACACATCAATATTGTATGTTAATATTTGCAGGCAAAGCTGCTAAAACCAAGAAGTGTGATAAAATATATGATATTTTGTGAAGTATACCTACATAATTAATGAAAATGACACATGATCCTGTAATGATAAATACAATTTTCTGTTCAATAATAATAATGACAGATAGATAAGCCTTTTTAGAAATAAGATGTACATTTTTGACCTCACAAAATGCAAAAATACAGGTACAAGTCATCAGTAGATGGTCTTCATAAAAGATGCCACTTTGAATTAGACTTAATTATATATTCAAATTGTAAAACATATATATTTTATTTCTCTTATATTGGATAAATGTTTTGCACAAAAAATGGTTTGTTGTTTAATGCTGCACTCAGCAATATTTCATCTAAATGACAGAAGTCTGTAAATAATCGAGTCTGGACCAGACACCCCGGTGATTGACACACACGATGACTTGAAATCAACCCGACCAAGTCTGACCACCCGATCCATGTGGTCGCTTCTTACAACAAGCATGGGTTGCTTGTGACCTATATTCTTACCCGGAATCCCCACGGGTCTTTTGTGCAAGATGAAATTTCTGAGTAATGAGTAACAAATATGACTGTAAAATGAAGTTCGGAGATGATCAATTTACCATATCACAGTATCATTACATGAAATAAAGCCATACTGGAAATATAATTGGCATATGAAAAAATTGCAACATGGCAACAATTTGAAATATTCATTCAGAATAAATTTGATTAAACAAACGTGCAAGTAAAATTTTATTCGAAAAATGAAAGCCTGGAAAAAAAAGCGAGATACCTTGCTGGGCATAGACAGTGGCAACATCAAGTTTATAAGTCCCAAGAGGCCGGTTGGAGCGAAGGAGTCTGCCAGACTGACAAACCTGATAGAATGGCATGCAAAGGCAAAACAGTAGGATAGAAACATGGCCAAAAAGCGCAAAAATGGCTTCGGCATAGTGTGTTAAATATCAGAAGGACCAGATTAGTGATTATGACAAGTGAGATGATGGGAAGTACTGAACAATGATACAAGTATATGTGTTTAAACTTTCACGCACACTAACAGAAATCAGAATGTGCAGGTATTGCATGATTGTTTTCCACTGTTTAGGCAATGTTTTGGACATACTGGGCAACTTGAATATAGGGAAATATTTTGCTTATAAAGCCAAAATTTGGAATGAATAAATTATATCAGCAGGCAACTAATGGTTAAGAATAAATGACTGTATTGTGTTTTTTGCCTCCCAGTTTAGCAACTGTTAAAATTTGTTTGTTAATCTACATAATCTATAATAATTATTATGATGAAGATATATAATTTTCCATTCTGAGCTACCCAAGCTAAACTGTTCTTTAAAAAACCCATAAGCCATAAGTACAGCCTAAACAAGTTAAGATTGGTGTGTTACTCTGTTAACTGCGATTCTGGTATTCTTTAATGATAACATGGGTTATGGAATATTAATTATTGTACAAAGTATAGATATTTATTATGACATGATGACAAAGTATTGGTTTTGTATGTTCTTATTCCTGTTGCTTCTCCTATCTGATCCTTCCCAATCCACACATCATACATTGCTGGCGGCAGTAGATATGGGAGCACTGCTAGGTCATGCTAACACTGCCATAACTAACAGAAAAAACTACATGCTTGGGTTTGAGGAGGGAAGAAAGGGGTAAACAGCCCATACATCTATGGCTGCCCATGTCTTGTAGGAAACATGGATCTGTTGTAAGAGATGTGCACAAATGTGTTTAACATTTCCTGATGTACACATGTACACTTTCAAATATCTCACCATTTGTGCAGCATCTCATGTTTGCAATGCTAGTTTTGAATTTAAGCCAAACACACAAATAATTCTGTCTAAGATAAATAACCCAAAGCCGAAATAAACTAAGAAAATATGTAACAGATCAGAAACCAATCTCCAAATGTTAGTGTTAATACTGGGGTTAAATGTGCTTATTAATAACTTCTAAATCATGCAAAAACTCTACAATACAACTGCTGAGCAAGGAGCCAGTTACTTGACGTCAATTTCATGTAACTGAACATATAGTTCCTGGATTATAGGAACTTAAAACGTGCTTCCTTGCTAAACAATTGCAGCTAGAAGTTAATTGTCAAAAAGATGATAAATATGTAAAAAATGGATAAAAAATATAAAAAAGGACTAGAATACATAATCTACCAGGTGCCATGTATATTGTGGAGACATCTAACTTGAAACTGCCTACAATGGTGCCCGAACGGAGGAAGTTACGAGAATGTAGCACCTAGGTAGATAAAGGAATGGTTAACTATTGGATTGCTTTGCACATGCACACATCATACTGGGTCAATATCATGGCTATTGATGGTCAAGCAGTTCATCTGGTGTAATTTGTTAGACTGTTGTTGAAGGTTTTGTAGTCAATACATTTTGGAGTCAATGGCATCATTAAAATATATTTTGAAAACTATTTTGATATATGGAAACCGTTGCCATTGACTTTCCAGTCTATCTCATTACACACAGATATGTTTTCATGAGATGAACATTGGGATTTATATACAGATCATTGTAACCTGACATCAAGAAAATACTGTAAGATACATAGGATCATTTTCACTCTGATTTGAATCCTTATATATCTTTCTGAACTCAAACACAACGCAAATATTTAGAAATGTTACCATACATTACATATTTTCTTATCAAGTTATTATGATCTGCAAATGACATATCAAATCAATCATCAATTATATCCAGCATCATTTATCAGTATTAGACTTGCTGAAGAATGCACAAAACATAATTATTAGGTTCTTAGTCTTACTGATCATTACTCATTATTACAATAACATATTAATAAACGGTGAGAGAAAATCCAATGTTAACTTGTAGATAAATGATATGGTCAAATGAGCAAACCGAGTGTTCACATAAGCCTACCGTCAGAGTGACAATCTTGTCAAACAGCATCACAGGAGGCAGGTGGAAATCAAAGACAAAATACTGGAAGAGAAATGCAAGTAGATCTGTGATATAAAGTACTTAATTCTATTTTACCGGTAATTAAAACTGGAACATGAGAGTTATATTGTTAACCTTTTTTTTCTCAGTTTGTACAAAAACATTATTCAAATGGCCAATGCCCACACATGTCAGCTTATAATATATACATTGGACAAAAGCTCAACATTGAACCGCTTCAAAACATTTGAAAGAGCTTTTGCAGTCCAGCAATTAGGGAACAAGTCGATATCAGAAGGGCTGCTTTGTTGTACACAATTGTTGACAACCATTTTTACATGTAAAATGTATTTTTATCTTCAAGCTATGGCGTGTCTCAAATCTAAGTTGTATCGTATCATGAATTTACAGCCATCCGTCCTAAACAAGGTAGTTCTTGTTCCAACTGTTTATATTTATGACTTCTGCCCAGGCTGGGATCATGGACATCAGGTCTTGCAGTTACAACTAGCTTGCCTGGGGTACTACAATGGAGTGCATCCAAAGGTCCTACCTCGTTGTAGTATGGGCAGTTGGTGGATTCCTTGACACTGGTGAACTTCTTCTGGTCCCCCACCTGGACACACACTACAGGGTCCATGTTCAACCCTGCCAGCTGACGGGCCTCAATAATTGTGATACACACCTTGGCAAAATAACTACAATGTTATAGAAACTCATAACATTAACTTCAGAATCTATAGCTAAACAGTTTTGTATTCATTGATACTCACAACTTATTTGTTCAAAATACTGTTCAAATAACCTTGATATATGCATTGAACAACATATACGCATCTGACATCTAAAACTAACAGACAACTTTATGCTGTTATGAAGTTTTTACCGTGATAATCATGTCTGCATTCTACCACAACTACCAGCTGGTGTAACTACCTGGTATAGAACACTAAAGCAACACAAGTACATACTACCATCTCTACTCCAATTCTAACATTATGAAGATAAGATCTCATTTGTACAACATAATGATCTGAGATCTCTAGGTTGAGGGAATTCTAAATAGAAGAGAACCACACAACCAACTAAACATGTTGAACGAAAGACTTACTTGGAAATCTTGGCTCTTGAGAGTGGGAGCATCTGGAATGACTCGAGACCTCATCCTTCAATCATACAGGGGACAACTTGCAGTGTACAGAAATGGGTTTGATAATATGCATGGAGACATGTTGCTTGACTAGTACAATCCTGACTAAAGAACGTAAAGTTTAACTGTCCACCTACTTTTTGCCGGTGCCTGACATTGTGATGGTGGAGCCTTGGCTGTCTATGCTCTGACTGTCATCCATGAGTCGCTCCTGTGCCGTAGATGCCAACATGGAGGCCACCTCTGCCGCCTTCGCATCCAGATCATGGGAATCTGTAACATAGCGGGCAGGTCAGACAGCATCAACACTGGTATCGGAGGAGATGAGGATAACTACTATTTATTTCTTCAGCCAGTGATGAAGTGAAGACTTCATCCACCATCAAACCAGACAGAAGTCAACATTCCATAGATTCATGGATATTAACTGGACACACTGGGAAACAAGAAACATCACAAATTATTTTGAATGTCAAAGTAATGGTCAGAGGTCCACTCAAACATTGTGAAATATAGACATACCTTCTCTTGCAGCACTACTCAACAAATCTTGACGTCTTATGTGCCTAAGTATGCTTTCCATATTCCAGGCTTTGAGAACAAGAAGAAGGCTTATGAGAGAGATGTGTGCACATCTAACAAAATACAAGATGACATTTTGCGCCCTGTTTGGCAGACTATATATCAGCTGGAGGAACCCTGAAGGCAAGTCTGCAAGTAAGCCAACATGAAAGATGTGGTGCTTACGAAATAGCCAATTAACCATTGTCACCAAGGAACAGGTAACCAGACAACAAGAAGTGGAGCACATCTGTTATTCATCATCTGTTTCTATGTATAACTATTAGAATTTGATAAACACTGTCAAAGTTTAGGATGTAAAAAATCTAAGCATACCTAACATATGGTTGATTGATAAGTTCTGATTCTAACATAGAGGGAATCAGGTAATACTTAAATCCTTTATTGTGGTTATTCCATTATGTCATAGAAGTATATCCATAACAGTGGAGTCAACTGAGCAATCAGTGATAAAAAAAATAAAGCTGGGGTCTATGATCTTTGGAAAATGGACAATCTTGAGGAATTTGCAGTGATCAAGTATTTGCAGAGACACCAAAAGCCATTCATAAAGATTTGAGACAAACACAAGGGAAAGATGCCCCTTCCTATGCCACTGTAAGGAGGTGGGCAGCAGAGTTTAGACAGCCTTGAACATGATCCCTGTCCAGGCAGACCTGTGACATCTACAACAACAGAAATGATCAAGAGAATCCACCATATGGCGAGGACTGATTGGCGAGTGAATGAACGTCATATTGATGGTTCAGTGGGATTACCCACGAGAGAGCAAATTCCATTATCACAAAAACTTTGGCAATGCAGAAAGTATCAGTTTGTTGGATTCCATAGCATCTGGTATGTGAGCAAAAACTCTCCCAGCTCAACTTATCACGGGATAATTTAGCTCTGTTTGAAGTTGATCCAGAAAGGTTCTTGCAATGATTTGTGACTATGAATGTTCACCACTTGCAGCCTGAGTCCAAACAACAATAAAAACAGTGGAGAATTTGACATCACCACCAAAGAAGGCTAAGACTGTCCAATCAGGGGGAAAGGTTATGGCCTCCGTGTTCTGGGATGGCGAGGTTTGTCATAGTGGACTATTTTTCAAAAGGCCAGACAATAACCAAAGCATATTATGCTGCACCTCTGAGTCAATTACGGGATGAAATTATGACTACTAGACTTTGGAAGTGGAGCAAAGGTGTGCTCTTCCATCAGAATAATGCAGCATTGCAACAGTCATTGTCAGGCTACAATCCACCTTATTCTCTTGGTTTGGCTCTGTCAGACTTCCATCTGTTCCCAAACATGCAGAAAGCTTTAGCCTGAACCCATTGTCTTGAACAACGACATAGCAGCTGTGGAGAGCCTTTTGGACAGCCAAGAGAAGGACCTCTACAAAACTGGGATAAAATCATTGTTGGCATAAATGTGGAAGGGAAATATGTTGAAAAAAAAATCTTTTTAAAGTCTCAGAACCTATAAAAAAAACCTCAATGATAGAAATGGATAAATAATTGTAAACTAAAAGTAGAGTAATGATAAATAATTGATCAGTAACAAAGCAATAAATTGTGTTGAAAGAAATTCAATGTGTTCATACGACATATATTTTGTTTCCAAAACCACATTCAAAAAGCAAGTATATACACCCACTCAGTGAATGTTAGGAGGACATACCAAAGTCATTCCTTTTAGAGCTGACTCATATATGCCCAAGAATAAAGACTAAACCTATCCTTAAGGATTCAGTTTAATTTCAAGTACTCAGAGGTACACGTGTTCACACAATACAAAATGTGATTAATCTGCATGATCATGTAACAATGAGCTAAACCATTCAAACCAACAGGCTCAAACATCAAAGCACACATAATAGTTTATTATTATCAGTTGGATCAGCATATATAAAACGTGTCGGTGCCAAGTGATTCATCATAGTGATCAAAGCTGAGAGCTATCCTCCTTGCCTCGAGTAATCTGCATAATTGATAGACATTGTTTTGCCATGACCAAGATGCCTACAAGCATCAGAAGACCTTGTATGACAAATGTGGCACACACCTGTATTGACTAGGCAAGTGGGAGCTGACAATGCTTCTTAATTATATATATATAATCCTGTGTAGTTACTGAAACAGAATCAGCACAACTCCTCTCTGGGGAAATGATTGACGTCATCTACATACCAACACCCACAACAACATGTGCATGTAAGCAGGCTCCAGGACTGACCTGACAGGCTGTATTACAGCCCGCACACTCATCACATCACTCTCACCATGAGTAAGTAAATAAGAATCTGATACAATAGAAGTATTTCTTAATGTCAGAAGTTAGGTCGACATGTCATTGTACGAGATATAACGTCTAACAATGGGCAATGTTCTTTCAGTGTGGCATAAAACGCTTTCACCCAAGAGTAAACAAATGAAATTGATTGAAATAAACTCATATATAGTGAAAGTTAATATTTACATTTTATTTCCTTCATGAAACAGCTGAATTTAGAACTACTGTTAGTATTCCAACAGTAAAGACAGAAATTTGAGATCCATAACACCTTGCAGCTGACCTGGTACATGAGTACATGTGAGAATAATGTTGAGTGCTGCTTTATCTTGGCACTTCTACATGCCAGTAGAGTTGACTGGCAACCATTTCAAATCACACAAAACAGGTAATAAAAATATGACATTGTGTCTTCATTAGCCTCCTTTTGCCAGTATTTTGTTCCAGATGTCATGAGGTGTCATACAATGCATCACTGAGTATTACAGCTTGCAGGTAATCCTCTTTGTCCAATTCCTTGTTGGCAATATCTTACTTCAGATGACATAAAGTGTCATGCAATGCATCCCCAATGTATTACCTGAGTCCAGATCATCAATGAGTGCCTGTTTATCATCATCTTGCTTCTTGCTCATCATCATCTTCACTACAGATGTCAGGTTCTTCGGGCTGCGTTCAAAACACATATTAATGCAATATTATTCTTGCCTTGACAAATTTACCAAAGCCATGTTTAGCTCAATATTTTTATGACCAGACATTTAAGGTCATAATCATGCGTGTTATACTTGTCCCACATCATGCCGACTAATGTCATCCCCTGACTAGATACCAATAAATAATGCTCTCAATACTAATTTTAACGCTAGATTGAGTTGTGTCCTCAAAAATGTAAAACCACAATAGCTACTATCAATTTCCTTTGATACCATGAACAACCTTTTTCTGGTGACAAATGTTACTAATGTCATTACACTAGGGCTTGAATAACTTCTGGAAATTCTATAGTTTTGAACCTGAGCTTTCTGATGTGTCAAGCAATCAAGTCTCTGCCTGATCTTATTGTCTTTTCACTCGCCTTGGTACCATAAAAACAGGTTATATGCCTCACCTTTAAACTTTTGTGGACTCAAGCTAAAATTCTAGTAAGATAACTGATTTCACACAAGTGAGTGAGTGAGTGAGTGAGTTTGATTTTATGCCGTTTTTAACAATATTCCAGCAATATCATGCTGAGGGACACCAGAAATGGGCTTCACACATTGCACCAATGTCGGGAATCGAACCCGGGTTTTCAGCCTGACGAGTGAACGCTTTAACCACTAGGCTACCCAACTGCCCCTGATTTCACACTAAGGTAATGCATGGTTCCTATAACACACTCTGACAGATTGGGTTTAGTTAGTCACATATGTGATATTGTAGTTGCAGCCACAATTTTAACCAAGGCAGTTAGCTTATTCATGTGTTATTCATTACTTCCCATTAGTTCAAATGTCATGTCACATTCATGCTATTATTGTTATCTTCTCTTGTGAAATGGCATACCCATTTTCTTAACATCGTGCTCAACGGCCACTATCAATTCTGGATATGAGTTTATGAAAGATAATTTGCACTTTATGAATAAAAGTTGTTATTCCATGTAAGATACTGTAATATTTAATTAAAACCTTCATATAAGATAAACCTACAGTTCACAGCCATCATAAGAACCGCTTCTACATCGAATGATTGTCATGTGTTCAAAATAACACCATTGCACAAATACTAATATTATTGTTGCTTCTAGTTTGTAATTCAGTTGAAATACTGACTTCCCAACGAAACATAAGAAACATAAAATCAGATATGATGAAATTTGTAAATATTATACACATAAATGTGATCTGTGGGTTTCTTCAACAATATCGATTTCTTACAAAATCATAACACATTGTTATCAGACCTGGGAGTAAGAGGATATATGTCATATGTCAGAAACATGAAACATAGCCAGGAAGTAGGGAAATGATTTTGATGACAATGTGGTGATTTGGTTTTTTTATTGTTGAGACAGTGCAAGATTGTATAATGTCAACTAGGACCACATCCATACTTCACCTTGAAGTGATGACATAGCCTTGTCTACTGCAATGCCCCAAATAACTTCTTGAAAGAGTAAAGCATAACAACCTTAGGTATTTAGTAATCTACTCCCAAAATTAACCCTTCATAGCAATATGTGGATCACTGAATGGCCACTACAAGTTTGTCTCCAGATACAGGGGATGCAAACAGTACTTACTTTTTGGGTGATTTTGCTCGTCCAGATGATGCCTTTGATGCCAGACTGAGTCTGGAACCTTTGAATGAGCTCTTGGAGGGTGATGACTTGATAGAATCAGAGTCTGGAGGATGAAGCTCATTGTCAGATTTCTGGATGTTCATCTGATTCCTCTCGTCCTCTGACAATGGTCGTCGAAGCTCATCACTCTTCAGTTTCTCGAACCCTCCCTTCTGCCACATCCCGACGCTTCCATCTGGGGCATTATACGTCAATTCAAAGGTCAGTGTTGTCTGAAAGAAATAACAAAGATGATCATTTTGAACATTTACACCTTTAGTGTAGGGCTGGGACAAGTCCAAAATTACTACCCGGGTACCCGACCCCCTATTACCCGACCCTACTCGGGTACCCGCTGCAATTTTCAAGAGTTGGGAACAAAATGTCTTATTGGTAATTGTTTTACTGCAGCCCTGGCTAAAACTATTTAGATACATATATCAAACAATCAGATATCAGATCATGCATTCACTGAAGTTTATTGAAGCTTTATCTTTACTCAAACATATACAAGTCAAAAGGAATATGTGCATTGTCAGAAAGAAATGCAAACATTAGCGATTTGCAGTGTAACCACTGAGCTATGGTGAGTTTTTGTCATTAAACACGGGTGTGGGTAGTCCTCTGGGTACCAGGGTCCTACTCAGGACCCACCCGACCCGAGTACCCGAGTTACCCGTCCCAGCCCTACTTTAGTGCTTAGTTTTCTCCAATGGTGACATTGTTTCACATATAATATAAATAATGATCATACATCCAAACAATAAAACCTTTCTCTAACCTTGCAGACTAACATTTTATTACCTGTATCCTCTCAAACTGTAAGTTGTTAAAATGGTAAACAGTAACCTTATTGAAATAGCAATAGGTTTAGGTTCAGCCTTACTCGCATAACCACATTGTTTGCATCCAGCAGCGAGTCTGATATCTTGACATTGCCAACTTCAATGAGTTCCTGCAGTATCATCCGGAAGGTCCCCACCAGTCTGTTAAGAAAGGAACAGAGTTAGTTATATTAATGTCTAAACTACACTCATTTCCATGCACTGTTATGTGACTTCATCTCTGAATATTTGAACCCCAGTTGTATGGTCATGTATTCATGTCTAGCAGTATATGAAACAACCAGGCGTGTGAAACAAATGTGGCAAGTAACAATCATATTCATTCACATATTACTTACCTCACACACTTCAATCCTGTCCATCTTGCTACAGGCAGAACAAATTACAGAAGTATGTTCAGAATGTACTCAGTTTTGGCACAATTCCTCTCTTTTCCCCTACACATTTTCATCCAGACCAAATGGACTGATTTATTTATTACATGCCACAAGAACACAACAACCAGGAGTCGCAAGTTGTGAACAACACTGTAGTGTTATAAAATATACATACATATACAACAAATATAAAATGTACTAAATTATCGTACTATGAAAGGTTTACCAAACAAATCTTCTATATACACATTTTACAATTTATTTTAAACCATTGTCAAAGCCAAAACTGTGACAAAATATAGTTGGTCAGATGCAGACGTTGGCTTTGAATCATTAATGTAATGCAGTAGTTTCTGCTTGCCTACTTGGAAAAAAACCCCAGAAAAATATTGGACATATTGGACAATAAAGTTTGATCTATATTTCATATGTCAGATGTCATCAATGTGTTGAAAGCTGTCTAGAACTCATTCAACTAGGAATATTCTTTCATAGACCTGTCAGACAGTATACACAAAAGAATATTTGTGGTCTGAAGTGTCTGGGTTGTTCAGTCTGCTGTTTCTGGAGTTTCAATTATTCATGGACAGGCTCTTTTCTTTATTTCATAAACACTGTAGACATTTCGAACTCAGCAAAGTAAATAACAAGTTCTTTTTACGTTCCAATGTATCCGTCTAACGTATACCTGAAGATCAATCATTCATCCTGTTATCAACATCATTTGAACAAAGTAACTATTAAATGGATAAAGATATTACAAAAGATTGCCATGAAATGTATAACAATCAATTTCCTCATCTCAAGCAGCGTTATCCTGCAAGACGTGTACCAACATCAGAAGTCTTGATCTGTAGCTATTTGATCCCTAATCACAACTACAGTATATCCTCCCTAAATGTACATTTACGCACACAGTTATTCTAGAACATTGATGCACAGAGCTGCCAGTTTTGAGACATCAAATAAAGAATAAATACTAATTGATTTCTTGCCTCTCTCAAACATATATAAATAACGTATGTTTGCTATCGTGGCACAGAAAGTTTGATTTGACTCTGAATCGGTCATGAGGGAAATCTCACTGTCTTCCGATAATGCTAGTCAAACAACTACTCCTGCTTTAAATAAAGTTGGAAGAATCGTCTGCATTTGCCATGAATGATGAAAAACAGATTTTCTGTCTTCTGAGAAACCTGCCAGCACAAAGAAAAATACACACTTGGCAGCCTTGGGCTTTTCCATTGATTTCCCTTGTAGAAGGAAAATAGAACATTAACGTATGTTTTAAGGATCTCTCAAGACATTCAGAAACAAAAAGTCTTGTATCAATATTACAGAGCTGTTGATAAGTCGAAGTGATCCTACACTTACAGAATGTGGAGGGAAATGAATGATTGATCTGTTTACCTTCAGTGTATGGGGGCCATGCAACCACTTATCATAGTGTCCCTCTGTCTGAATGTAAATACATATCCTAACGACAAAAAATATGGGCACTAAAGATTTGAATGTAGTTACCGTTCAGGTGTACATTTACAATACCGTGGCGTTGCATCTGAACACAATGTCTAATCACAATGACATTTCACATCATGCATGAACAGCATGCGATGCACAGAGAAGTCAAAGAACTCACAATCACTAATGCAATTGAACTAAGCACTTGCTTAAAAATGTCTCTGAGACAGTACCTTATTAAACAGACAAAATGGTGAATTGTGGGAACGATAGTTGGGTTGGGGGTGGAAGAACGTCTGTACCCTAAGTTACCCAAATGTTTGGCAAATCCAAAAGTGTAATTTCTTGAATGTGGTGTAATGGGTGGGATTGCGATGAGACCTGGGCATGTGTAAGGCCTAAAAACTGAAAAAAATACACCTAGAAAAGATTGTCTCATCACATTAATTGCACTACGCAAAAGAGTCATATCTGCTCTTGTTACAACAGAGAATTCCATACAATAACAGGAAGGAAAATTTCACCGTTAAAAACAGGCTTTTTGCAGCTCGCCTGAAAGCAAGGCATCCTGTAAAGGGTGTGACGCCAACAGCTTACCAAAGGTGCCAATGATTGGGGTTGACTTGGCAACACCAGGGACAGACTGTGTGCCAGTGGCGTTACACCATGTTAACAGAGGAATCAAGGTTTTGCCTCTGATTCACAGATGGCAGAAACTCTGTTGGCGAGGTAATGGCAAGCGGTAATCCAGGGCAACAATTCTTGACCTTGATCTGTATGGGGGCAGTTGTGTCATGGTGTGGGGTGGTATCACACATGACAGGCAAACTGATTTGGTTATTGTGAATGGACATTGAAATGGCCAGCGAAATGTTGACAAAGTTTTGTGTACTGACATTCTTCCATTTGCTAGAATCATCGCCAGAAATGTTAAACTGGAAGATGATAATGCCAGACCACATCATGCCCAGGTCATCACCGATTACCTCCGATGAGAAGACATATGGTCATTGGACTGGCCAACTAATCCCCTTATATGTCCCCAATAGAGCGCCTGTGGGATGTTCTCAGACGGGGAGTGTATGCCAAAGACCCAGCACCGGCCGATGTGGCCCAGCTTTCTCTTCAGGCAGAATGGGCAACCAATCGCAACCATATGTAGGTTAATCAACAGTATGCCACAAAGGTGACATGCATGAATCATCAACTTGGTGGCCACACCAAATACTTATCTACATGCCCCGAATTAATTTTCCAGACATTTATCATCATGACTCCTTCACTATCATTTCATCTGTTCCCTTATTTATTGTCGGAAGTATATGTATGCTAATTGTGGCTGCGGCCTCCATAGAAAAGTACAAGCATGGAGCTGGCTATGTCAGACCAAGGATCATAATCAGTAGTATATCTTGAACCAATCCCCTATCCGTGGCTCCTGGTATCTGAAGGGTTTACAATGTGTTTACTATGTTTACAATGAGTTGCAGTACATAAGACCACAGACCCTTCCATCCACGGTGCCATTGTGCACGTACTGTCAGCAACATCATGTTGGTATCATACTTTCCTTTACAAATATTGTTTAGGTTTGAGAATAGTAGACTTTTGACATAATATATTTAGGAGTGAAACAGTTAGATCATAGTCATGGTTGTTGTACATCCTTGGATTTATTGATGCCATATGTATCTCTGGTATTCCTTCTTGCATCCATATCAGGACACATGTCCTTCCCAGTGTGCAGATGAAGCTAGCTGTATTGCCTGTACAATCCACTTACCGGTACACATATTGGTATACAAGCGTTGTCATGAGGAATAATATATACCACAGGTAGTGTTAAAATCAAATATCCAAATACATATACAATTTTAACCTTAAAAAAAGCAGAATTTAAATGCTTAATCATCACCAAAATATATCATATCAAATGTAAGTTGCAAATATGAAAATGTGACTTATTCATATACTAACATAAATCAAATGAAGAAACACAGATTCATGAAATGAGTTATTTCTGATATGGTTACAAACATACATATGAGCGCAAGACTGTTTGGTTTGAAGTGGATCAATGATCAATTGACCATGGCTTATTTCAGTACGATAGCATAAGGTGCTGCTAAATAGGTTCCGGTTTGCCCACAGGTGTTTGGTATCAGGTTTTGAAGTTAAATATGCCATCTTAATGAAACCTGAAAGGTCCCTTGGGTTGTTGCTGCAGAGGTTTTCATTAACTGATGCATCAGTTTCACGATTAGCACAGCCACACATGACCAGTAAGTGGCAGCATTGAAATAGATTGTTCTCACAAGACTTTGTTTGGCACAAGAACAAAAATATAGGTTTTAAAGAACTCTCATAGGATATTTTAGAAAGAAGGCATTTCCATAAAGCGACACCATTTTTTAACACATTAGCTGTGTGGGTTAGTCTGCTGTACAAACAGTTTGAGCTGACTGTTTTACACTGAAGCATTTGCAACATATAAGGAAAGATTTAAATCAAATATGATATGGATATTAATGTTTGATATAACATTCCCATTCTGCTACATATTGTCAGTCAGGCATTTCCTATAAGTGTAAAGCCACATCCTCAAATTCGGGGTACAGGAACAATGACCAAGGAAGGTCATACTTCTATGTAAACAACTGTACATATGCTTACAGCATTATTCCAGCAATTTATCCCACATTGTACCTATGTGGGGAATCAAACCTGGACCTTTGGTGAGCTGAGCAACCACTTTAACTTTAGTTTGTTTGTCGTTTGACGCCGCACTCAGTCGCCTCTTACATCAGACCTGTTGCTGAGACCTATTCAAACGCGGATCTTCCCGGGTCCCACTTGAACTACATGGCTACCCAACCCTGCCTCAGTTACACAGAAGGCTGCAGGCTTTATTCACTCATGAATGGTCCATTCTAACAAAACTCGATTTGGGCCAACATATACAGTAACTAAGAGTCTAACAGGGAATCATTTTTTAATTGGCATCTTTAATTATCACTGATCAAGATAAACACTGAGCTTTCATTCTGGCACTAAATCACTAATGATCCCTATGTAATCAACAATTATGCCTTCAGGGTGCAACATTAGAGTAGATCATTACTTGTAGTCTAAGTTATTTGTTTGGTTGTTTGTTGTTTGTTTCACTCAGCAATATACCAGCTATACGGCGTTCTGTAAATAATCAAGTCTGGACCAGACTTTAGTCTAAGTTAAGTTACCGTATTCGACGTAATAAGCGCCCCGCTCTAATAAGCGCCCACGGCGATATTTGCTAATATATTG